TTGAACTATCTTCCCCTTCCCAGTCTCCACACCTCCAATCCTTCCACACTTGGATCTTGCACTATGAGCCGCTGTCAGGGCACGTCAATTCAGAGCTAACAGGTCTTGAGCTGTTTCGGGCAAGGAGATGGAGAGCGGTGAGAAGGCAGCTGTGTTGTCGGTGAGCAATGCGCCGTAAACCGTGAGGAGCAACGGTTACCACGTTGGGTCCCGGCAAACTTTGCTGTCTCGGCCAAGGCCGGAATTGGACCAGCGGGGGGGCATGCGCCAGGCCATATACATACAACTAGTGGACTGCCACGGCGTGTATGGCAACACGTGTATCCGTAGTTTTGCTGGGGAGAGCCGCCCTTTGTCACTGCCCTGGCAGACGGGGATGCATGGGTACATGTCGGCCGAGTATTCGTAGGGCATACCATATCCAGGCGGCAGCCGGAAATCGTCCCAACAAGTTGGCCGGGCTTGCTTCGGCATAGACGTTCAGTCGGAAGCAAACGCAGAGAGCTGTGCGTGGCAAGACGTGACCTCTCCCTCCGCCTCTTCACCCGTCTTTAGCAAGACATGAGCACCCGTAAGCGTGGAAAAGGGTAGGAGACGTGCTGCTTCGTCTCATGTGATAACCGCAAGAACGGCTATCGGACTCGGCCAATTGCTATCTTGTCACTTGAGCCAGCAGGTACATCGGATTGAAATATGACGGGCGGGCTTGGAGCTCGGGTGTGTGGCAGATGTTGGGATGTAGGGTTGATGCCGGACGGCTCCCAAGTCCCAGGGGGGCGAACACCACCAGAGGTCACACCAATTTGTTCTAGAACGCCATTTCTGGGGTCGTGGGGGCCGCATCCCTGCTGGGGTTATTTTCGCGGTTTACTATGTATAAGCCTGGCTTCCGAGAGGCTTTGCACATACCGCACAATGTACTCCGTACTGCTATAAGGCTTGCTTTCCCTCCTGGTCGCACACTGTAGTAGCGGGCGACGGTGGCGGGCATGCATGTACGACGGTGCTCAGCAGGGAGGTGAAGGATTAACCAGATCTGTTCTGTGCCTTTGAGACGGCGTATGCCGGCCATGGAAGGGTTTGTTTAGTGGCAGTTTGCATCAGTTTTGATGTCGGTAGACCACCCATTTTTCGCTGCTTGCCCAGGTTCCCGCCCCCAAGACGATGTGTGTCTCACCGGGGCAAGGCGGCAGAGTCGGGATTGGGTAGTAGTATGGGGGTGATGCCGGTTGCTTCTCACGATACGACCGGGGGATCTGACATACAGGAAATTACTGCAACCCAGCCGGCCCCATCTTCAGGCTCGCAGCGGCTGGAGGACAATCAAACGAGGGCGTGGTCTTGCTGGTTCCTTGGTGGCGTTGAAGAGCTTTGCGGGCGCGCGTGTTCCTATCAGGCTCTGAAAGAGCATTGTCGACAACCAGGGACGGTGGTCACGGACGGGACCCAAAGCTGACTGAAGGTTGATGTGGACATGGCTAATACATGCATGTAATGGCAATAGGTACGTAGGTTATCGTGGCTGGGGAGTCAAAAGACGCGAAGACGAAGCATATCTATTACCGGTCTAGAGCTTGATGGGCCGAGGTCCAAGGTCCAAGGTCCAATCTCAATTGGCAATGCCTTTTCAAACTCTTTGGAGGGCATGAGGTGCGGAGCGGAGGAGAAAACCACATGCAGAAGAAGACGAGGAGGAGGTGCTTGTTTTTGGAGGTCAAGCTGGTGGGCAGGATGAGTGGTCGCCAAGATAAGCTCAGGTAGGTAGGTGTACGATAGTGTGTACCTGGCGGAATGGAACTAACGTCAGGTAGCTTTAATCCACTGCGCCTGTAGCATTACCTTACCGTTACCTATCCACCCAGCTGCCTAAGTGGGGCATACACCTAATTGATAGAAGTACCTAGGTACTAGGCAGTACACGGTACCTGCACCACAGCAGGCGGCGAGGCCGTGTTTGGGCGTGCGCTCAAGTCACAACTGAAGCGTGCGCAAGAAGCCGGTCAGGTGTTGCTCTCTCGCTCTCACTTACTACGTAGGTATCTCTGCATGCGCTGCCCCCTTCTCTGCTCAGTGTTCAGGGCGGAGTCTTCCTAGCTTGGTTGCTGCCGTCGCCCGTCGCCGTCCCCCCGTCTCAAAGCCCCGTTTTCTCCCTAACCCGGCAGCGACTTTCGGGTTCTACGAGGACCCAGAGCGACGTCTGGTCGGGGAATCTGGAATAGCACAAGGGGGAGAGGGAGAAATCACGCCCTTTCGTAAAGGGATGGAAGTCAACTTATCTACCTAGGTAGACCCCAAGGTAGAATGCCACAGTGTCGCGATCGGCACGTCCATGTTTGTTGTGCTTGGTCTGCGGAGAGACCGAAAGAGAAGCCCGAGAAAAGAGCTTAACCTGCGCCACGACCGTCCCTATCCTTATGGGGTCCATGCCTCGCATTTCATCAGACTGAATATGCCCTCAGAACCTACCTGGCAGAGACATCGGTCAGCCCAAGGATGAGACGGCTGGCAGACCCATCCCGAGAACCTCTTGCCTCGTTGAACTGCGGAACACTCCAGAGCCTCGAGTCTTGTCTTGTGTGTTGTTGCATGCTGTTGATGCTGGTTGCTGTTGGAAAAGTACCGAGCGCAATGGTCAAACATCAAAGGGGGAAAGATAAAGTCCCGTGCTCTATTCCCAAGGGACCAGGCAACGGTCACCAATGCCAATCCCAACGTCAGCTTCTGGATATCTTGCTTGAGCCATCCGCCATCCGCCATCCGTCCTTTCTGTTCCTGCTTTCCCCCCTCCCCACTCTCGTGCCCATGTCCCTGGTCGGTCCCAAGTCCCCTGCTATTAGGTACCTACCTAGGCTGGATAGTGGGTAGGTAGTTTAGCAGGCGAGAGAGCATATTACTGAAGCCCACTAAAGCTTAGACTCTAGACCATCTCGTCTGTTGTATCTCCACGAGGGTTTAATGGAAGGGAAGAAACATATACGTCGCACACACACGCATACCATGGTATGGTCGTCTGTCAGAAAGTATAGTGCATGTACCTACCTAGTAATTAGTCTATTGCAGTGAGGTATTGTAGGATTGTAGGTCGTAGGTGGAGCAGGGGAGCTGAGGTAAACATGCGGTATCCTTGAAAGCAGCCACCACCGGCAGGCTGGATTGCATTGCATTTCTCAACTGCCACCGGACAGCGAACCAAACCGGACGAGACCCCACGGCCACGTTCCCTCTACATACAGATGCCAAGTCTAGTTCAGTGAGCCTTTTTCCCCCTTCTTCTTTTTTCCTTTTTTTCCTTTCCCAGAGCTGGCCAAAGCAGAAGCCATAGTTCACAACCCTGGGGGGCTTGGGCGCTAGAATGCACCTGACTAGACTGACTGGCTTGAAGACAGGGCGCCTAGCAGCACCCACTCACTCCCTTCTACCCACATCCACATCCACGCCCACACCCGTACCCATACCCATACCATACACAACACCCGCGCAAAACCACATACTGGACAAGGACACGCTGGACGCTGAACAGGCACTATACCGTGATTGCGGCCCACGTCAAAAGACAGGTACCTCAGGCTTAGGAGCCTGAACTGAGAAAGTCCCCTTTCCTGGCCCATTTCTTTCCACTCCGTATTTTTTTTTTGCCTCTTCTCTGCTCGAAAGTCGCCCCCTTCTCTTTCCTTTCTCCTTCCTTTCCTCAGGGTGATCCGAGGCGCGGCAACACACCGCATCTCACCCATATACAGGTACCTACCTACCTTACTTTTACACACCGTCTTGCCTTTTTCCACCTCCGGCTGCCATCGTACCCTTCTCCCTATCAAGTCTGGACAAACTGGGTTTTTTTTTCCCCTCCCCTCCCCCCATTCTTACTCCCCCCTCACCATTCCTCCTTCCCTTTTGCGTACTCCAATTTACGCCATCTCCCCTCATCCTCTTGCCTGCCACACCCGCCCAAGACCGATGCCAACTCCTTTGCAGACGATCACGAGAACATACGCCGCTTATATGGGCTCCGGACTTGACTCACCTGTACACCGTCCTATCCAACGATTCGATTCTACCTTGGACACGGACCCGATAGCTCTGGCCCCTTTTGTTTACCAAGCTCTAGCCTCTTACTGCCAAAGTCTGCATTCAACGCTGCATTCTTTTAATATCCAAGTCTTTGACTTGTTCTAACCTAACCTAACCCAACCACGCCTGCTTCGCCTCAGCTCACCTATCCTATCTCACCTCGCATGTTCCGCTCAATCAGGTTTCGACATAAGGCACCGACTGCACCTTGAGTCTCGTCTCTCGCCTTCTTCTCATCCCAGCGTCGGCATCCATCTTTGCATCGGCATCGGTTCTTGCTCAGCGGTTCTGCTTGAGGCCCTGCGTACCTCCCCTCCCCACCACGGCTAGTTACTTTTGACAAACGCCGAGCCATTGCTCATATCACCACAATCCCGCTAGTTTGTGCCGCTGCCATCTGCACACCGGCAACCCAATCCTTCTTGTCAACACCGCCAATTCATGAAAACGGCCATCCGGACCCAGACAATCTGCAACAGACGGGTCCCACCGCCTCTTTTTCTTTTTTTCTTTCTTCTTTTTTTCTTTTTGACGTAGTGTACTTCGAACCCTCGAATCCGAATCGCATCAACCGCTCGGCTCAGCGAAACCTCCACCTATCTTATGCCCGCAGTTGCATGTGGACCGAGTGACCAACCCACGCTGCAGCTTGCTTCTCACTTGCAGCCGTCTGCGTCTTGTCTCCTATCGAGCCGAACTGGTCATCACGTCAACTTTCCTCCACGTCATATTGACCTGTAGCGCGATCATGAACACCCTTGTTCCACTCAGGTAATCTTCATCACAACTCGCAAGATTGCCCCGGACGGCCGGGCCATCTATGCCTTCCAACTACCTATCTGAACCCTTGACTTTTCTACCTACCTCCTTCAAGTCCTTTGCCGTCTCTGCCGTTGGCCATCTGGTCTCGGTAGGCAATACATTCGCTTCGGATGGATTTACCCAAGGGCCTGGTCAAGGATGACAGGCGCATCTATGATGATGTCGCGTCACTCACGCAGCCTCTTCCGGCAGATTTCATCATAAGAATGTGGCGCCGTAAGTCATGTCCAAATCGGCATCCAGCCATTTCAGCGTCCTCCCCAAAGCTCTAATGCCGCATTGCAGTCTACACCACAACAAACCTCAAGCTAGTTGATCCCACCGCACGTCGTCTAGAAAACCTTTGGTGGCATGTGATGGGCAGCGACAGGTGTAGGCTGAAAGCAGCCACCGTGGCCAAGCTTTGGGAACATATCTCATACGGCCCTACCTTTGTGCCTCTCAAAGGCTCACCAAACCGCTGGGAGGGGCCCTCGGTACTTCACCCCACCTTGCCTGACACCACACTGGCCTTTGCTAATGGCAATGCACAGACGCCCCGTTTCAACAGCCAGCATGAATCCGATCCGCTTCTCAGCGCTCAGCAGATGAACCAGGATATCAAGATGATTTCAGAGCAGTCGGCACTCAAGGAGCTCTCTGCTTCGTCGTCCCGACCACCACCGCCGCATCCAATCCTGAAGAAAACCAGGGGGGATTCAAAATCTGGACCCCGTCCGACGGCTCGGTTTGTATCGCCACCTGAGTCTGCTGACGAGGACTACAAAACCAGCGAGGGGGCGTCGTCCGGGAGCACAGCAGCCAGTGGCCTGGAAATGCGCATCTCATCAATAGCATCACCGACAAAATCGAGCAAGAAGAAAGCACCGACCCCGGCCAAACGCTTCGTTGCCTCGGCTGCGAACAAGAGAAGACCAGTCCTTCCAAGAAGGATGAGTTCACAGTCCTCAACAAGCTCTGACGTCATGGCCAAAGACACTGGTTCTGCAAACGGAACCAAACACGTTGGGACTTACACCGTGATGCTGCCCCATGCTGAGCAGAGTGTAACCCAGGGTAGTATTGGTCCCGAAGAGGTCGAGAAACCCCCAAGCGCCAAAGCGTTGGGAAAGAGGCCCGTGAATCGGTCATTGACGGAAACAAAAAGCTCTTTGAAGTCATCTCCAACCGTTGTAGCGCGGCAGAAACCGCTTGTTGTTCAAACGACAAGCCGAGCACCAGCACCCGCGCCGCTGAGCAGATCCATAAGCGAACTATCTGGCTACGAGGGAAACGGAGCGAGAAACGAAGACCCCAGGACGCCTACGAGCATTTCAGCTGCATCGCCCGTGCTCTCGTCACCAAGGACCGGGTCCTTTTCGTCATCGCGTTCACGCCTAGAACCGACAACATCGATTTCTGAGTCTTATCGGCCGAGAGAGGCCAGCATAGGTCGCGGTCCTGCTCAAGGACTACTCTCTAGCGCCACAGCGAGCACGTCCAATGTTGCGGCCGTCGGCCATGTTTCAATATCTGGGGAACCAGACCGTCATGCTTTGGAGGCTTTGGGGTCGCTTAGCGAGGAACCGAAAGAGTCCCCTCGGCGGGCTTCGTCATCGTCACACTTCACTCCAACCATGCCAAGTTCTACACCCGACGTACCACTGGCCCGGACGAGAAGCCAACTGACTCTACTACTAGAGCGCGAGAAAGAGCGCATCGGGGACAGATCAAGACCGAGGCCGTAAGACGCACTGCAAGCAGTGCCATCTCTTATTATCATATAATCTATGTACTAATCGCGGAGCACAAACTGCATTGACCAGGGCTTATGGAGTTTGAGGAACACAAAAAACCAGAATCGTCCGACTACTATCATTCCAAGAGCTTGCCGGTCCAGACGGTTGTAGTTGGGCGTGGCCAGCTCCTACGTTTATTGTTCTTTTGTTTCTCTTCGTCAGCTCGGCAAGACCGACTCTTGGTCGAGAGTCGATCGGCGAGTACCTATGCATCGCATGAGGCGTTCTTTTTTACAGACGGTTAAAGGAGGGCGACGGCCCGTCAAAGCATTGCAGTGGAAACAGCGAGTTACAAAATAGTTATTCGGGTGGTTTTCTTGTTGTTTCCTTTTTTTTGGGGGGGGGGCAGGCCGGTAAGAGGAGGTTTATTGGCGTTCACAGCCGTTCAAGCAAGGTGGCGAATCGTTCCGAGGCTGGGTTAAAGTTGAACCGGGAGGATGCTTCTGGACCGACATTGCACAGCAACCGGCCCAACTACATCTATTGACACCCTAGATAAGAGAGCTCTTTTGTGTTCAACGCGTCGAGGACCAAACCTCATCCAACGTATCACTGTATTGGCGATGTGACTGCGCAGATGAGTGCGTGTTATGTTGACTGAGACACGGCAGGGGATGGCATCAGGTCTAAGAAAGACCTAGGCTGGTTTCTGAGATGAATGCCTGACTCGGCTTGCTTAACAAGGCCGCAAGGTGCGGCCGCTACAAGTCAAATGTTACTGGGAATCCTACCGATTGCCCAATGGTTTGACTCGAATAAGGGAAGTAAGCGACAGCATGCTCTACCCCGGTCCGTTTGACCATCAGACTGGTAAGTGTAAGTAAGGGGTGGGGGGGGCGGAGAGGTGGGAGAAAAGCAAAACGCAACTGGTCACGAGGATTAATGATTTCTGCCTTAAGAGGGACCGCCTTAGAAACGTACGTACCTCTCAGGTCGTAGTTTCTGCGACAAAGGACGAGGCGGGTGGGCGAACCTCCTCGAGAGCGATACCCACCCCGCCTTCGCCCCCATAGACTATAGTGCAGCTCATCAGGCAAACCAAAAAGAAAGAAAAGAACGATGGCTTGAGAAAGCAGAGTCCTATCGAAAAAACGGAGATCAGAGGATTCACTTCCTCCAGGCCGGTCCTGACGCCTTACGCAAAACCCACCCCACGTCTCGGCCCCCCCTGACCTGCCATATTGAGCACGAGTGGCAGCAGGGTGGCTGGATGGATGAGATGAGATGGGACGGGATGGGATGGGAAAGCTGTTTGAAGCTACCTACCCTGGAGCTCGACAAGGGCTGCCCACTGCGGGGTAGGTACACAACGACACACCTTCGGAGCCGGGAACGAGGAGGGGTAGCTCACAGCTCTGGCTGATTAGCCGTTGCAAGCCGTCTGCTGACTAAGACGACATGCAGTATCTTCTTCCGGCGGCCCAATATCTTCCCCCACAAGAGGCTGGGCTCTTTTCATCTAGTTGGAGGCGGCGCTGTATCAGTGTCAGGAAGCTTCGAGCTGCCCATCCCTGCGGCTATCGGTTCGTGCAGTCTGGTACAGCAGGGCTGTGTTCAGCTACTACACTGAACTTCGTTCCTCACAAGCACCCATTCCACCAGCCAGCCAACCAGCCAGCCAAAATGAGGCAGCACCCCATGGGCCCTGCATGCGCATGCAGCGAGGGCGAGAGGCGTGCTTCGGTACTCGCCTCCTGCCCCCCCAGTGTCCTCCTCAGCGGGTGTGCAACCCGACCCAGCGCCCAGCGCGCCCGTTTCCACCGGTGTCGTCGCACAACATACACAGCACGCATGCACCCCATCTAACCTCTTCCCACACACTCCCCCTTTTGCCTGGCAGCGTGCATTCGCTCCCTTGACCGTGCAGCCGTCGATACAGTGCGTGACTTACATGTATGGCCTGCGGATGCAGGCAGTGACTTGGACGACGGGGGAGGGGGGGTTCCAGTGGCCACATGGCACCCGCCGCGAGCTTCACCATGGGACATCTGCTGCTATTGATACCAACTTCGCGCTTCCGAGATACCAAGATTATCTACCCTAAGACGAGGGTGGTTCGGGAGGTCGAGATCGGTGAAGGAGGATGCAAGGCCGTGTAAGTGGAGGACCGGTGGGGGTACGCTTTCTGAACGACCGTCGGTCGTCTGGGTGTCGCAGTGGAAAACGCGTCGACGGCTCCGTCAGATAAGCCTCGCCACATTGTATGTCTTGCTTCCTTTCACAGGCTGAACCAGGGCGGGGAATTATCACTAGACTTTTTGAGTAATATAATATTAATTTGCAATACTCCTTTGACAATCAACGGATAGATGTCAATGTTCTTGGAACCAAACGCCCATCATTTCAGCACCGAATGACGTCTCTCGCCTTTTATGCCTTTTCTTCCCCATTCTGGCCATCAACATGTATGTAATCGTTCTCTTATGTAACAGTGTAACCGCCGTCGACTCGAAGGTCAGCGCCCGTAACGTACTGGGCAGCGTCGGACAGGAGGAAAGTCACGGGGCCCATCAAGTCCTTAGGCTGACCCATCTTGCCCTGGGGAATTAGGGATGTCCACTTCTGCTTGAGGTCCGGGTTGTCATCGAGGATCTTCTCGGTCCTGTGGCAATGAGTTAGCAGCTTTTTATAACATTCAGTTGGCCACGATATCGGGTGCTTACAAGGCTGTGAGCATGTAGCCGGGCGAAATGCAGTTGACGCGGATGCCGGCGTGGGCCCATTCGACAGCCAAGGAAGCAGCCAGGTGGCGGACACCAGCCTTGGCGGCATTGTAAGGTCTATTCGATATGTGTTAGCTGATAAATTCTCGAGCAACTCTGGAGGAAGAGCGACGTACGCCTGCGGCTGAGGGACGTTGACAATCGAACCAGACATGCTGCCAATAAAGACCATGCTGCCAGGCGACTTGCGCTCCATGAGGTGCTTAGCAACGCCAATCGCAAAGAGGTAGGTACCGTCCACGTTGACGCCCCAGAGCTTGCGCATGCGATCGATCGGATAGTTAACAGCGTCGAAGTTCTCGGTGAAGCCGGCCGATGTGACTAGGTTGTCAATCTTGCCGTGAGCAGCGAGGACCTCGGCAAGGCAGGCCTCAACAGACGCCTGGTCTGAGACGTCTGCGTGATGGGCAGTGACCTTGGGGGCTCTATGATGTATGGTTAAAATCCAATTGCGTTCATAAGAAATCAATTGAGTGTTCGGATAGCGTACCTTTTTGCTTCGGGGTTTTCTCTCTTGAATGCCTCGATCAGGTTCTTGGCCTGGAGCTCTGCCTCTTCCTCTGTTTTTCTGTTAGAACTAGTGCTTGTGGAATGCGAATTATAATTCAAGGCTTACTATTGAGGTCGACAATGGCGAGATCGCTGCCAGAGTAGACCATGCCCTGGCCCATAACCAAGCCCAGACCGCGGGCACCACCGGTGACGACGCCGACATTGCCCTCCAGAGAGAAAGATGCAAGTGTGGGCTTGCCAATGCCACCGCCGTGGCCACGGACAGGCTTACTGGAAGGAAGCTCGTGGTCCTCGGGGTACTCGACCGTAACGTCGGGGTCGGTTCTTGAGTACTGGCCGGGATGGGGCTTCTCTCTGACATTGGGGCTGCCGCTGATGGATCTCGACTGTTGTTGGTGCTGAGGCCTGGTAGTCGTGATGCCTGCTTGGGCAGTCTGAGTGGACTTGGCGCGTGTCTGGGCGTGCTGAGTGATGGGACGGCCCATCCGAACGAGCCGGGCGCTGAGGGGACGAAACATTGTGACTGTCTTTGTATTGCGCAGAGTGCTGTCGTCCGTAAGACGTCTCCAGCGAAGGTGAAAGTAAGGTTCTCAACCAGAAAGGGAGGATAACAGATGTAATCCTGTTGGATTTTGGAGGCGCCGTTTAGTTTTGAAACTGAACGGCGGGATGATGTCAGCGTGCGAACCTTTTATTGTTGGGCAGCGACTTGGATGATCTGAGATGAAGCTAGTTCTCCCTCGCAGAATGGAACTGGCGATCAGTTGGGGCAGTATTACAACACCATCAGTCGAGTAACGCATCGACTTGAGCACCGATGTGGTTGATGACGTGGGATCAGCGGAAAAGAGGCTGCTGGTTGCCTCTGATCGCCTTGATGTTGGCCTGTATCGGGAAATACAAGGTTGGGTGTCGGTTGGAGGTAGCTCGTCGGTGGGAAGGGGGATGAGAGAGCAAGAGGGCTGGAATTAACTGGGAGGCCTGAGGAAGTTTAGGAGGGGGGGGGGGGAGAGCAGGAAGAGGTCCATTTATGAATAGCTCAGGATGCAAGCACGGAAATGGTGGTTTAGGTAAGGCAGCCCAGGGAAGGGGGACTGGCGGTGGTGTGAATTGGCCGATTGGCAAGGAAGGGTATGGATGATCAGTTCACGATACTTGGGGGACGTGGACGCGTCTCGACCTCCGTGTGGAAAACTTCACGTCTTGACTGTTGAGTCGAAAAGAAAGTCTCAACCATCACGTTGCAGGTTGCAGATGCCACTATCACACTGCCTCGCGGGGAGCTGCCCCGGAGCTAACTCAGCTGGAGCCCGAGCAGACATGCTGCTGCCCACCGCCCACACTAGAACCACAACCCCGGGGCGGGGGTGGATATGAGGGAGGGAACTTGGGGGCATGTTGCCGGGATCCCCGGCTCGGGTGGCCGATTCTCCTCGCCTCTCTTCTCATCGATGGATGCCCAATCGAATTGCTCACGGTGATGGCATGCTAGTACTGTACTCCGTACTGTACCTTAGTAAACCACCTACTTGACACGGTCTATGCTGTAGGCTATAGACACTCCCCTCCGAGATATCGCAGCGAACCGGAGAGAAGCAACAGAAACCCCTAAAACCCTGGTCAAGATTTCCACGCCCTCCACTTTTGCCCCCAAGGAACGGTTGGTAGAGAAAGGACGAGAATCTTTGAACAAGCTTGCGACCCAAGCTCCAACCTTCTTTTTTATAGAGTCTGGTTCCTGGGGCCAGGACGCATTACGCGCTTTCTCCACAGCTACCCCGACTATCCTGCGCGGGACGGAGGTTCTGAAATGCTATGGGATCAGGGGGGACCGGTCTGGCCATCGCTAGTCCTGACCTCCAGGTCGGAGAGCGGCCACAGGCTACGCCCAGCATTTTCCCTATTGCATTGTATGCACCTGTGTATGCAAGAGCCTAAGAGGAGAGACCAATGGGAAACACTGTCATGTATAAACTATCAAACCTACAATGCCATCACGTTGAACGGAATGGCCATGCGGCTGGTGCGGCCGTTATCATAGTGTACTGATGATCCATTGTAGTTGGTGTATGCGGTGTACAGCTCAGTGAGTGTTGTCGTGCTTGCGAAACACGAGGTTCGAAAGCGGAAGCGACCGACTGACCGACATGCACCGAGTTTCATGCCTACCACCACTCACCCACCATCTTATTCCGGTCGCCCCCCAGGGCCCAGAACACGAAAGACATCCATACATCTTGCCACTCGAATAGTAAACCAGGGTGCCGGCTCGGGAATGCCATATTCGGTCATCCGCCTGAACCTGCCGTCTTCCTTGCAGATTAGGGGCCTTGGAAGCGCACCTCTGGTTCTGGTTCTGGTTCTAGTTCTGTTCTGGCCAGCTCTGGCATCCGTTCCCAGACATGCAACCAGCCATAGACAGTAGTACACCTAGACTATGGCTGATGCATCGTGTTTGCACCCCAGCATCGTGTCTGCCGGGTTTTGCTTGCTATTTTGATGGTGTTTGGCGTGCAAGTCCGGAGCTTGCAAATTGTGACAGCGTCTGGCGCCAAATTTTCATTAGTCCCATGGTTTCTCGTCAGTTCAACGCAACAAGCTTGACGTCCACAAAGGAACTAATCCATTGGACCGACACCTATCATCTACCCTGGAAGTAACAAAATGATGTCCCATATTTTGGCCCCGTCTTTTCCGTCATCATGCAAGATGGGCATATTCCTTGTTGAAAGCCCTTCCAATCACCATTCTCCGAATCTCAGAGGTACCGGCCCCGATCTCATACAGCTTCGCACTAGGAACTTGTCAGTGAGCCGTCCTCGCAAGCCAATTTTTTTCTTCTTTTTTTGCAGCACTTACTCTCTTAAAAGTCTGGAAGCCGGCATCTCTTCCATGTATCCCATGCCACCAAGAAGTTGGATGCCGTCCAGTGTGCACTCTGTCGCTCTCTCGGCAGCATACAGGATAGCACCGGCGCAGTCCTGTGTCCGGATCAAGCCCTCCTCGTCGACAGCTTTGGCCGTATTGTAGGTGTAGGCACGAGACGCCTGGAGCTTCGTGTACATATCCGCCAACTTGCCCTGGATGAACTGGTTCTGGGCGATGGGGATGCCGAACTGCTTCCGCTGGTGGGCGTAGGGCAGAGCCACGTCCAGCGCGGCCTGCATGATGCCTAACGGGCCGGCGCTAAGAACGAGACGTTCGAGGTCGAGGCCTTCCATCAACACGCGCACGCCACCGTTTACCTTACCGAGGACGTTCTCTTTGGGCACGAATACGGAGTCAAAGTTGAGCTCGCCAGTGTTGCTGCCTCGCATACCCATCTTGTCCAGCTTTCTTGCGCAGCTGAAGCCCTTGGCCTTCGTCTCGACGATGAACGCCGTGACGCCCTTGGAGCCTTTGTCGGGCTCCGTCTTGGCGTAGACGACGATGATATCGGCATCCGGACCGTTGGTGATCCACATCTTGGAGCCGTTCAGGACGTAGCCGCCGTCGACAGCTGTCGCTGTCATTCTCATGCTCACCACATCGCTTCCGGCCCCAGACTCGGACATTGCCAGCGCACCGACGCTGGTGCCAGCAATCAATCCGGGGAGGTATTTCTGCTTTTGTTCCGGAGATCCATTGAGCTGAAGCTGATTGACGCACAATTGGGAGTGCGCGGCATAGCTAAGGCCAATTGAGCCAGAAGCACGCGAGATCTCCTCCATGACGACGCAGTGTGCTTGATAACCCATGGCCAGACCACCGACTTCTTCGTCGGCCGTCATGCCCAGAAATCCCGCCTCGCCGAGCTTCTGCCACATCTCGTTGGGAAATGCATTACTCTTGTCCGTGTTCGCGGCGACCTCCTCCGTGATCTCGCGCCTTGTAAATTCCTGCACGCGTTCGCGCAGCTCCGTCAGGTCGGCTTGTGATGGTGCCTCAAACCCCTTGGGGTGCTTAGAGGAGTGGTGTCGGGTTTGGAGAGCGGGGCTCGCGAGGGGTCGCAATTGACGCGCCGGTCGCGCCAGCGATCTGAATGCTCGGATACTTGACATGGCAATGACTTTCAATAAGAATGAATGATGGGGATGAGAAAGGAAGAAATCGTAAACACAACTGGAAACTCCTCCCGTTGTTGATGATCCAAGTTGCATTAGCTTAATGCCGAGCAGAGGTCCAAGGTGCTTCGGCTACGGGCGGCTTGCTGCGGGCCGAGGTCAGGTATTCGACATCATTGGAATGGTATCCCGTCAGCAAGCGAGTGGCCCTCGAACCTCTCCTTCTCGTCTTCAAAGGGCATCGTCTGCAGTTGTAGCCCAGTCTCCTTCATACCCCGAGTCCCTACACCCGTTGGCAACATCCTCGCACACGTCTAAAATGTCTTTCTCACGGTCATCGAGGGACGTCCTGCTTCTGTCGCGTCAATTGACACGGCCGGGGTTCAGAGCACCCCGCCTCCCGCGTTCCGCCCGTACCGTTGCGACCTTCACGCCGCCGCATCAGGCCAGCGCCATCTCCCGAATCCAGACCAATGTCGACCCGACGTCCGAGGAGTTTAAGGAGAACAAGCAGCACATGGGCGAGGTTATGAAGAAGCTGCAGGACCTGACGAGAAAGGTACACCTCGGAGGTTCGGCAAAGGCGAGGGAAAAGCACCTTGCGAGAAAGAAGATGCTGCCGCGCGATCGAGTCACCGCATTGATCGATCCCGGCACGACCTTCCTGGAGCTGTCGCCGCTAGCCGCTCATGAGCTATACCCGGAGGCTGACGTTCCTGCGGGAGGCATCATCACCGGTGTCGGCGTTGTGGAGGGCGTGACATGCGTGATTGTCGCAAACGATAGCACAGTGAAGGGCGGGACCTACTACCCGATTACGGTCAAGAAGCATCTGAGGGCACAAGCTGTGGCCCAAGAGAACAAGCTGCCGTAAGGAACTTCTAGTCGCCCTCGGTAGACGATTGCTGACGCATGCATAGTTGCATCTACATGGTTGACAGCGGCGGGGCCAACCTCCCCCACCAAGCGGACGTGTTCCCGGATCGTGATCACTTCGGACGCATTTTCTACAATCAGGCAAGGATGAGCTCCATGGGGATTCCCCAGATCTCGGTCGTTATGGGTCCGTGCACTGCGGGTGGTGCTTACGTCCCCGCAATGAGTGACGAGAGCATCATTGTTGAGAACCAAGGTCACATCTTCCTGGCTGGTCCGCCGCTGGTCAAGGCTGCCACCGGTGAAGTTATCAGTGCCGAGGAGTTGGGCGGCGGCAAGATGCACTCTTCTGTTTCGGGTGTGACAGACTATTTGGCAGTCGACGACGCTCATGCCATCACACTTGCCAGGCGCAGCATCAGCAACTTAAACTGGCCCACAAAGTCGCCTTCTACGGCGGCACCTGTGCAGAACTATGCTGAGCCGCTATACTCGCCAGAGGAGCTTCTCGGCATTGCTAGTACGAACCTGCGGAAGCCATTGCCCATTAAGGAGGTCATTGCTCGTATCGTTGACGGTTCTGAGTTCTCCGAGTTTAAGCGTGACTTCGGTACGACTCTGGTCACTGGGTTTGCCCATATCCATGGTTACAAGGTTGGCATTGTTGCTAATGATGGCATCTTGTTTGCCGAATCATCCGTGAAGGGCGCGCATTTCATTGAGCTTTGTGCTCAACGAGGCATCCCCTTGGTGTTCCTCCAGAACATCTCCGGCTTCATGGTTGGCTCCGCCGCCGAGCGTGGCGGTATCGCCAAGCACGGTGCTAAGCTTGTCACTGCCGTTGCTTGTGCCGATGTTCCCAAATTCACTGTCGTCGTAGGCGGTAGCTATGGTGCTGGCAACTATGGCATGTGTGGTCGAGCCTACAGCCCCCGTTTCCTATGGATGTGGCCCAACTCTCGCATTGGTGTCATGGGTGGTGAGCAGCTGGCTGCGGTGATGGAGACCGTTGGAAAGGCCGACCCCGAGCTGAAGGAGAGGATAGAACGGGAAAGCGACGCAACCTACTCGTCGGCTAGGTTATGGGTCAGTTACTTGGTTGTCCACATCATGTGATACTTGCTAACAATGTTTATAGGACGACGGCATCATCCCTCCTCAGCACACCCGCCAATATCTGGGCTTGGGTCTAAGGGCTGCCATGTCAGGTCGGAATGAAGTCAAAGCTGGTGATACCAAGTTTGGTGTATTCAGAATGTAAAAAGCTTAGATTCTGTTTACGTGAAAAACGAGCGCACAATAAGCCATTTTGTTACCTATCAAGTAATCCAGCAATCAAGTATCGCATCATATGATGTCTGGTTAGACTACGACGGGGCCCATAACACTTAACTATCGTGTCAATTGATATGACAGTAGACGTTGATGCGGTCTCAAATCCAGTAGGGGATTTCTATATGTACTCCCTCTGTTATACTCGGCAATGGATAATTTTGTTCAACCCTCAAGATGATGGATGCTATTGCAAAACAGTCGGTTTTGAAATCGATTTGGAGAAACACAACTCTCTCTCTCTCTCTAAAGAAAAAGAAAAGAACAAAAATCCTGGACTCGTACGTTGAAAGAACGCGAGTTTGTTCTGCAGCAGATCAAAAAGAACCAGTCGCACGGGATTGCCTCCGACGATCCACCGGCCAAACCCCTGCCGAACGCCGGCGGTGAAAGCCCTGGGCCTGTCTCCCAGCCCTCTTCTCCTTATCACCTATAACTTCCAGCTGTTCCCCTTTTCGAGACATTTTACCACCCCGCCCCCACGTATTCTTGCAAATCAGACACCAGCAGGGCTGGCTTGGCCACAGTCGCAATGATCCACGTGCTGGCATTTATGCAATGTGGACGTCCGATCTCGTTGTTGTCAGACACAGGACATACTGATTGATGGTCTTAGTGGTCTATCTCCCAGCCATTACACCGGCTTCCAGAAGTGCCGGCGATCTCCAAGGGTTCGGTCAGCGCAACCGGTGTGAAGAATATGACGGAGCAGTGTTGAACGTGACACGCGGCTATAAGACTTGCCCCGAAAAGGACGTTCTCCGGCCACAGAAGCGAAGAACCAATGTCTTTCGCTTGTTAGTCGCAAGACAAGCATCTCACCACTTGCATGAGGTGGCTTATCATATTTCTCTTCAAACTGTTCTCAACCATGTGGTCTCATTCGCTTCATCCTACTACTTCTTTGTTCTTCCTTACTTTCAAGTCCTCAACAAACAGCCTGTGCGGCCAGCCAGTGTGGTACGCTCGTACCCTAGTCTCACCGATGGCCAACCCTTGCTTCACCGGTCTGCGCTCACCTGACTAGCCCTGCAGTCCTGGCGTCCCTCTGTCTTTCTGTCTCTCTCTCTCTCTCTCCCGCGCTCGTAACCGCGGCTCCGGTAAAGGCCTTTGGATACTGGGATGAGGATTCTAGGCGGGACGCGATGGGTGCATTAGGGCTTTCATTCACACCTCTTCCATAATAGCTCTTCTCTTGGCCCAGGGATGCCGACGTGCAACTGCATGAAACGGAACCGGTCAATGGGCGGTGCTATGGTTTTGCCCAGACACTGACCGATTGAGAAGGAGTAACAACGGAGGAGAGGCCAGATAAGGCATGGTCGTCAGCTTGATTGAGCCTCCTTTCGTGATACGCCTCACCGCCACGAGGCCTGGGACAGGTATAAGAGGAGGTGGTTGCTTAGTTGGTGAGCTGCCTGAATCTGGCTTCGATGACCCAGGTTGAGCTAGCTGCCGAAAGGCGTTCTTGGTTTCTAGATTTACCCCATACTGAACCTCCCATCCTCATCCGCTGAGGGCAGTAAACGGTATCATAACGCAGCAGTCCGAATCTCGTCTATCTAGGTCTGCCTCATTGTCCGACGAGGATCGCATCACAGAAAGCCAGTGAACCGAAAAAACGACATTGCGACAAGATGACTCCATCGGCATTGACTGGAGAGCCAGAGATGTACGCATCAACTATCGCCGAGATGGCCCGTGGCCGGAAGTTCTTCCCCTCCCACAAGTTCATCATTAGCTGCGGTACCGTCACGGTCGATAAGCGCGGGCGGCGCGTGCTCCTAGTCTACAACAAGCGCCACCGCATCTACCAACTTCCCAAGGGCCGCAAAAACATCGGCGAGGACCTACTCACGGCAGCCCTGCGAGAGACTCTAGAAGAGACGGGCGTCGCAGCAAGGCCGGTCACCTTGCGACTCCGAACGAGGGCCACGCCCGTGAGCAGGCCGCCAGGCGCACCGGAGGTATCGGAAGAGTTTGTCGACACGGAGCCCGTGGCTGTGTGCCACTACCCGGACCCGGCTTCTGGCGCGATGAAGATGGTGTTTTATTTTGTGGCGGAGAGGAGCTTTGATGTTATGTCAGACGGGGGTGCCAGGGAAGACCGCGCCAAGTTCGATGTCGTCTGGGTCGACGCCGCCGAGGCGGCTGATAAGTTGGCGTTCAAGGAAGATGGTATGGTTGTCGAGAAAGCTCTGGACGATCTAAGGACGTCTGGGTACGACGTTTAGTTTTGGAATACGTTAAATTGTTGCTTGTAAGTAGATGGTGTCCACAGGATACAAAAGAAAATTAGATACTCCGCAGGGAGGTCGGCCTGAGTACAGGTACGGACAGCATCTGTTTCGTTTCTTCTTCTTTTTTTGCCCTCTACATCTATCTGACTTATAAATAGTCATCTACAGAATGAGAGTGAGCATTGAATTGGCAGCACCGGAGTGCTTTTGTTAAATACATCGTTCATGTTTCCTCCTTATCTGAGAACGCATCGCTCTTGATTCAACTGATCTTCTTGCTGCTTGTATAAAGAGGAGCTGACTTATAGCTTGATGGTATTTGAGCATAAGATTTGGACTTTATCAGTTGCGTTGGAAATTAACCATAGTCCAGAACTGGGACGACCTGGCGTATAAGGTGCCAATCTGCCTTTCGGAATCATGCCCCGTAGGTGCCCTAAAGCAGCCATCAAATACCGGAGCGGCCGGTTGACCTCAAGACGGGCACCGACAACGGGCCGTGGAGGCCCACAACAGGCGGGGTCAAGGCATCCCCCCCCCATCCCCAGCAATGGTGACATCACCCCACCCCACCTACGAACCCCCCTCCAAAGCTCCCAGAGAGAGAGCGAGGTTGTGGTCTACGAGAAGGGGTAAGAGGCTAACGCCACAGATCTCTTTCCGTTTGCCTGGTTAGTTGAACGTCACCCCCGGCACATGTAGTGCCCCGCCAACAGCTCGCTGCCCAATCGTCATTGAAAGAAACCATATGAGCTCCCACGCTATTAAAGCTGCCCGCTCCCGATGGCCGCTGGTCTTGAAACAACCTACATCCTCCCCCACCACTGTGACAGCTTCTCGATCAACGTCGACAGCAACACTCACAAGCTCTACCGCATCCAAGAATCTCGCAACCTGCTTTGTTAGCTTTCCTCGACAGTCACACCCGTTCTCTACACAAGCCGCCAAGATGTCGACTATGCCTGCTCAGCACGGCCACTCCGTGGGCTGCTGCAACATCCCGCCCGTAGTTTCCAAGGGGTACGAAGCCAAGGGCACTTACGAGGAGATTGGAGGCAAGAAGACTTGTAAGTTACCAGTCGATCCCAACCAATTGGGCCCAGATCTTTAGTACACGGTCTGCCACTCTGCCTCCTCGCTCAACGACGTCTGCCAACCGTGGACCCAACAGTACTGACCAGACAAAATTCCAGACGTCACCGGTCCCTCCGATGCGAAGAAGGCTATTGTTGTTATCTATGACATCTTTGGATACTTCCCTCAAACCCTCCAGGGAGCAGACATTTTGGCCACAAGCGGTTCCGAGAAGTATCGCGTCTTCATGCCCGACTGGTTCGTCGGCGAGCCCTGCCCCATTGAGTGGTTCCCTCCCAACACGGAGGAGAAGCAGAAGAACCTGGGCGGCTTCTTCCAGAAGTTCCCGCCTCCGAAGATCGCCGGTATGGTCCCCGACTACGTCAAGGCTGTGCAGTCCAAGTTCTCTTCTGTCGAGTCCTTTGGTATCATCGGTGTAGGTTTCCCTCGTAACTCATTGACCGTTGCTTGTAAACTGACGGCATCACAAGTACTGCTGGGGAGGTAAGGTCGTCTCCCTCGTCACCTCTGGCGAGAGCAACCCATTTAAGGTTGGCGCCGAGGTCCACCCCGCCATGGTTGAGGCCGAGGATGCCAAAGGTATCAAGATCCCCCTCATCATGCTCGCCTCCAAGGACGAGCCTGAGGAGGATGTCAAGAAGTTTGAGAGCAACTTAAGTGTTGCCAAGCACGTCGAGATATTCAAGGACCAGATTCACGGGTGGATGGCTGCCCGTTCGGACTTGGAGGACCCCAGAGTCAAGGAGGAGTACACCCGTGGCTACAAGACTGTCCTTGAATTCTTTGCCAAGAACTTTTGAGTGAAGACCGGGACTTTCGAGCTTGCTACAGCAGACAACAAATAACAAAACTGTTTTGCAGTACTAATGCCCATATATTAACGACGCCTTATAGCTGGTTCGGCAGTGTTTCATTTGTTGCACAAGCTTAGAAGCATGGTCCATCCCGGCCTAAAACTCAACTGCAAGTGGCTCGGTACCCAATGTGTTCGATGGAAATGATGCAGTCTTAGAATATAACAATGACAGTGCATATATTGGGTTCAAGAAGCTATAAACGTCGGACGGAAATAGGCCTACAGGTTGAAGTACAACTAATTCTCGCACACCCAGCGCTGTCTTTGAACCTTCCCGCAAACTCCAACAAACAGAGGCGATCGGCTTAAATTGCCGGTTAGCGTTTCACTTGATATGTGTTGTCCCATGTGCTCGAGAACAAGGGCATGGTATTCTCTTTTATCAGATTACCCCAGTTGGAGATAATCGCAAGGGAATCAAATCGGTATAAGCCTTGAAAGCACATCATCGATAGACCCGAGCTGGCTCGGCGGCCTCCTCAAAGCAGTCGTAAGCCAATTTGAAGCCCCTCCCCCTTCACACTGTATCCGAAGCTCCTAGTACTGAAGCATGAGATATGGCTACGATAGAGACAGAATTGCAAAGCTCTAAAAGATTGATCTAAACTGCCCTCAGCTCCACCTTAGTACACCCAAGTATTCTCCCTAGCCGGCACTTGACACCGAGAACTGAGCCACAAGTAGCACACGGACTGATATAGCCTCTCTCGTTAGACTTGGTATGACTGCTCAGTTGCTGCTCCAGGATCTGCGCTACGTCATGTGGCCGGCGTCAGCCGTTGGGCCGCCTGTCTCAGGCCTCAACACTTCTTTTTTACGCAAGATACAAGTCGACGCCGATGAACAAGTCGATGCTTCTTTGCTCTCTGAGTGATGCTGTGCTTCGAGACACGTTTTTCATCGAGTCAAGGCTTGGCAACACTGACATCCCCATATTACTCGATGCCTGGAGTCAGGTGGTATCAATATTCAAAATGCATCAAATGAATGCTAATTAGTGGCAGAAAGGCGCCGGGCGACAAACGATCACAAGGATGGATATTGGGAAAATCACAGGCAATCTCCAACTTGTCTCGCAGCATGACGAAGGGAAGGCAATGCCATAAAGTACTCTTCATAATGCATTTTATTCTTCAACCATAGCCATACCGGCAGTTTTACGCTCCTGCAATCAATCCATCCCACCTCAGCCATTTACGGCACAAGCCTCTTGGGGGTACGAGGGTAGTAGCTGGCCAGGTGCACAGAGGGCAAGTTCAAGAACCAGGCAACAACACGGTCGAGACCGATACCACCGCCGCCGTGGGGAGGCACACCGGCGCTACGGAAAACGTCGACGTACTCCTTGATACCCTGGCTGTTCGGGTCGATACCCTTCTTGCGCAGGCGGGCCTCGAGGACGCTAGGGATGTGGATACGCTGGCCTCCGGAAAGGATCTCCTGGCCGCGCATGAAGAAGTCGTAGGCGTTGGTAACCTTAGGGTTCTCGGGGTCCTCAAGGGCATAGAAGGGGCGCGCTCCCTCGGGGAACTTGTCGAGGACGTAGAAGTCGGTGTTGAACTTCTTGCGGATCAGGGCGCCCAGGGCCTTCTCCTGGGGAGTGGACATATCCTCGTCATCCGAGACGTTGCGGTACTCCTCGGGACCCTCCTCACGAAGGAGCTTCTGTCCCTCGGCGAAGGTGAGGCGGACCTCCTTGCCAGGCTCGGGGAGGAGGAAGTCTTCCGAGGGGTAGACGGCGCGGACGGTGTCAATAGCGTCGGCGCAGCGCTCCTTGAGTCCGCGGAAAATGTGCAGAAGGACCTTCTCGAGCATATCCTGGACCTCGTGGTAGTCGTCCTCAATCTCCATCTCCAGATCGAGACCAGTGAACTGTGCTGTTTTAGCCAGTGGTCTTGCGTTTGCATTCTATGTGTACCTACCTCGGTCATGTGTCTGGGGGTGTTGGAGTTCTCAGCACGGAAAACAGGGCCAATGCAGTAGACTCTCTTTCTGCCACCGGCAATCTCGAACTGTTTGTAGAACTGGGGGGACTGGGCCAGGCAGGCACTCTTGTCGAAGTAAGGGAGCTGGAAAACGTTGGCACCACCCTCGGAGGCGGCACCAATTAGGCAAGGGGGCTCAAATTGAACGAAACCCTGGGCGTCGAGGTATTCCGCAAAGAGCTTGCGGGTGGCCATGCGTATATCGGCTATGGCCTGCTGGACGGGGGCACGCTTGTGCATGACGGGGTTGTTGAGATGCGTCGACATGCTCGCGCTAGGAGTGGTGTCGATGCTCACGCCTTCAACACCGGCCTTGACGTCGTCCACGGTTTTATCAACCTCGGGGGCATTGGGATCCTCATCATCGAAGCTGTTGATAGGACGGTTCGAGACGGCCAGGCTCATGCCCAAGGCCTCGGGGCCGGGGGCGATGACGTAGAGCTTGGTGATGTGCAGCTCAAAGTCACTGACCTTGCAGCTCTTAACGGGCTCGAGGGGCTTCTGCACTGTCGCCTCAACGAGGACGTACGACTCGAGCGCGATACTGCCGATCCACTTGACCATTTGCTTCGAGACGGGCTTACCCTCGGCGCTCGCGGCGATGACGCCCTGGATGGCCCAGTTACGCTCCTCGCGGAGCTCAATGAAGCACATCTTGGCGCCCTGCATGCGCGAGTTCTGAATCCACGCGCGCAGCTTGATGGCCTTTCCGACATGCTCTGCGCTGATGCTACGCAGGCTGGTGCGCTCGGCGTCGACCTTGGTCTGGGGCTTGACGTCGCCGTAGTTGTCCTTGGCCAAGTCCTCGCCGCCCGCGCCGCCGGACGCCTTCGCGGCGGCCTCGGCGGCCTGGCGCTCCGCAGCTTTACGGGCCTTCTCGGCCTCCTTCTTTGCCTTGGCCTCGGCCTTCTTCGCACCCTTCTTTGATTGCTTCTCGCCTCCCTCGCCGGCCTCGGGAGCGGGGGCGGGGGGGTTGGATTCGGTCGGCTTGGGATCGGTCGGCGCGTCAGCCATGATTGCGGGTTTGAGATTCGATGGGGGAAAAAACAGTAGTGAACCAGAAAAATGAGGATGTGATAGGTCGAGCTCGATTTATCTATGCCGGTTCGATGACTCTTGTGATTTGACCTGATTTCGGTGTGACTGTTCCAGTAACACCGCGAACCTGGAAATTTCGCTGGCGGGGCAGAGATGATGACCCCTCGCTGCGGGCAGCAGAGAAGGTGGTGGGGCCTGAGCTGAGCTGCCCTACTACGCTTATCGATAAGCACGTCCGTGTGATTTCATGCTGGATACTTCTTGTTGACCCTGATCTTGATATGTGACTAGCTAGCCATAGGTATTTCCTTATTACAAGTTTCATTTTCATACATCAATTGGCTTCAGAACGAGCCAACTGCTACCAATTAGTATCTCATGCAATTCCTTCCCTTGCTTGCCATGGTGCATAAGGCAACCAATTCAAACGCCGTCCGTCGCCAGTAAAAGGTACGCTGCCGCCCCGAGATGAAGAAGTTAAAAGAGTAGTTACACAGCAGCAGCATGATCCCCCAAGAATATAATCGGACTACAGGCGAAAAAGTACCGTCTACCTTCTCTCGGATATCAACTAAGCGACCAAGGATTGTGAGTCGGACTTCTCGCAAGTGAAGAGGTTGATGTAGTAGTCTCCTCTGGCAGCGCAGGCCAAAATGGGCCTGTGCGGATGGAACGCAGTAGCTGCTATAGGAGAGCCCCTGTTTTGCTGCAGGAAGCTGGAGTACGGCTCGACACGTGACAGCTCTTGGCCTTCAAAGTTGAAGACCTTGACAGCATGCGCGGATGTGCCACTGCGGGGGATATGATTAGTATCGATGGCTTCTCGATAGGGGGTTCGTCCGACTTACACTGCAAACACCGGCAAGTGCTCATGGGTGCTGGCCGTTCGGAGCGTGTCTCGGGTCGTTTGGTAGACGTGAAGTGGCCGATCCATCCGGATGTCCCAGAGCTTGACTTTGCCGTTTCTGCTTGCACTAAGAAGTTCTCGTTGTCCGCCACGCTGCAGGTGGACGCTCTTTATCCACTGCCGGTCTGTTTCATCCTTCCACTTCTTGATCATGGAGTCCTGAGGTCTGATACGAGTATCAAAAACGCGGACGGCACCGTCGCCAAATCCAGCCACAACTGTGTGGCCCGTCATCTGATCAGAGGTTAAGGAAGTGACACAGGAGCCAGACCGGGCGGGAATATCAATAATGCAGGTTTCGGAACCCGCAGACCACACCCGAATGACTCGTACGTCGCCAGCCACTAGCACTCGGCCTAACGACTGCTGCCAATCGAACACCATGCCGGAGTTGACGTTACTAGGGACCATGTGTGTGAGAGCCCGCCAAGAAGAGGCCAGGCTGATAGACTTGTCGGAATCGTAGTTCTGATAGATGCGAATGACACCATCTGACGAACCGGTCATTAGAAAAGCCTGGTCGTCCTCATTGATGAATTTCATATCGCTGATTCTTGACCCTTCCGGGTTACCATTGGAGAACTTGCTCAATCGAGCATGCTTCTTCCAGTCCCACACACACACCGTGTTACCATCGTCCGCGACAGCAAGATGATCTTCGAATTGATGGAACGTCAGCTTGGCAGGCTGTGAGCCGTTGTTGGTGATGCCCAGCTGATTATTCCACTTGTGACTGCCGGCGTACTGCTTGAGCGGCTGCGTTTCTGCCAGAATGTGGTCATTTCGGGACCGTCTCCAGAGCCGCTCGTTGTACTCGGTGCTGCCTGGCTCATCCGACTCGCTCGGCTTCATCTGAGGCTCGCAGAAATACTCGATTGACCACTCTAGGAAAGTGCTCTGGAGGGGGAGAGAGGGGGCTTCGCCTGGCTTCCGGTCCTCAAAACCAGCAGAGACAGGCTCTCTGGCAATGTGGTAGTTCGCATGGATAGCTGTGGGATCGCTCTGCTCTGGCGGCACTTCAGCAAGCTCCGGCGCCTTGATCTTCTGAGATCCAGCCCGATGCAGACTAGGCGAGGGCGCCGGAGAGGAGTAATTAGGTTTCTCATTAGCATCAGCTTTGCCATCGTTGCCAAAAAGGGGCAATTGGAATAGCAAGCTTGCTGTGCGACGTAACAAACCGGGAGAAGGCAGTGGTGGGGTTGCCAAAGAGTTGGAGACACCAATGGCATGGCTTCGCTGATTTAGGTTCAGGTGGTTCTTTGTTGAAGCCCGCTTTGCCCTCTTTCGAATGTCGTCAATGAGAGTCTGGGCGTGCTCACCCACGGGCGAAGCCATCACGGCCTGATGAACGTAGTCCACAATCATCGTCGCATCACGCTGAACCTCAGGGTGAGGGTCAACATTCAGCATCAAAGCGTGCTTCCAACAAGCAGAAAAAACAGTGTTGTGTGCAAAGCCATGGACCGTGGGCTTAATGGTGCCATCTGCGTTTCGATTTTCCTTCCTTGCGTAATGCAGCCCCATCTTGTGGTCCATGCCGTCCTGTCCTGGTGGGAACAAGAGATATTCTCTCTCTTCCTGAAGCTGTTCGTATGCGGCAACAATGAACTTGCTTTCAAAGCGGAGTATGAATCTTGAGAGGAAGACAAGGAACTCCCGGCGCACCATTGGACTGCCATCATTGGCCATGTCCAGCAGTGTCCACGCAATAGACTCTTCAATGCGAGCAACCTCGTCAGTGAGATCAATAATGCCCAAGAACGTGGTCATGGCATACATCATGGCTGCTCGGACCTCAGGCACTGGGTCCTTGGTCAGGAATGATAGCTTTGCGGGAGCGTTCTCCCTGATGCCACGCCACTTGGCCTCCGGCAGTTCTTGCCAAAGCTGACTGATGCAGAGACATGACCACTGTCGAAGCAGAGGGTTTTCTTGGTTCTGCAGGTGCAACAAGCAGTAAGTCATGATATCAGTTTGGTTGCAGACGTGCTGACCCGGCTTGTAATCCTTGCAGAGCATAGAGAGAATAAAGGCACACATCGCTTTGTGCTCGGGCTCGTTGACCACAGGCAAGCTCTCAGATGGTTTGAGAATCTGGGCGAAGTAGTTATAGCCGCTGTCTTTGATAAGATCCTGCTGGCAAGAGATGTCGACTGCTAGAATCCTAGTCCATATGAAGATCATAACGGGTTTCAGTTCTGCCGCAGCGGACTGTAACAGCTTCAGGACATAGGGGAAGATGCCTATGCTCAGGGCAAGCTGAACAGCCCAAGGACCTAGGTCGAGGAATCTCCCAAGCAGAATCAATGCCCTGACCCTGTGCTGTTGGCTCAGCAAGACTTGAAGTACCACTGGAAGCTGCTCTGGTGGTCTCTGAGACATGGCGTCTCCACGGGTGAGGTAGACGTCGAACGCCGTCAATTGCTCCGTGAAGAAAGTCGAGTTTTGGTACTCGTACTCGATTCCTTCGTTCTCCTTCCTCTCCAGCATGGGAAGTTGAGCTAGAGCCATGTCCACAGCCAAATCCCAGCTTGCCCACAACGGATGCTGGCGGGTCACGGGGAGTTCGGGAAAGGACTGCGGGTGGCAACCGTACACAGACATAATTCTCTGCGCCAGAAGAAAGTTGCGGAACAAGGCGGCGACCATAAGGTCCTGCCTGAAGAACTTCCGGAACAGGTGTCGGGGTAGTGTTGTCCAAGCGATGGTATCCGTGATGGCTGTGAAAATCCAGTTCAGTTCACCGAGGGGTGTTCTTCGCTCCTGTAATCTTCCCGGAAGCTTCTTGGCGCGCTCTGGAGTAAGGTTTGTTTTGAGGGGGTTCTGAAGGACGAAGAACCACAGAGCCATTTCAATGGGAGTGGTGAGACAAGAAGTGAACAAGTCGGCTGGGAGGAGAGGATTCGTTGGGAGATTCTCCTTGACACCACAGGCAGCCAAATGGATATAGGGCTGAAACACCGTCTTTTCATAATTCGGATCTCTTGCGGCCGCTTCGTTCTCCTCCTGTTCGTGCTTCTCCACGAACCTGTGATAATTGTTGAGAATGTTGCCTGCCTCGGAACAATCCCAGACGTAGATCGTAGGGGCGTGTAGCCACTGCTGAAGATCATACAGAGAGACTGGGATGTACTGAGTGTAGTTCTTGTTGAAAACCCAGATCTCACCACTGGCAGTAGGCTTTGGCACTCCATGGCCGTTGTAGTGAAGCAGGACTCGTTCATCCTTTGCATTCCTGCGCAGGGATTGGCAGAACTTCTTGGTTTCCTCCACTGACGGATCCAAGTATTGTTTGTATCTTGTTCGGATGGCAAGTGTCTCGTACTGCGCCTGTAGTGCCTTGCCAATGTTTTCCAGGGCTTTCTGAGGAGGCGGGGTCGTAGGGTCGGTCCACGCTTCGAGCTTCGCACCAGGGTTCGTCTTGAGCTGGTCGGGAGGTTCGACTGATATATTAAGGCAGACGGCCAGGGCAGCAGAAACAGTTTTGAGTCTGTCACGCATGCGCCAATCCTGAAGCTCGTGTAACGTTGCCTTTGGTTTGCCAGTTGTCTCGTGTCGTTTGTCGGTCCAGTACATGTACCAGTTCTGGGAGCAGGAGTCAGCATGAGTTAACATATATGACAGGATGTCAGCAATTCCCAACAGCCCAAAACAGCGCCGCCAACGTATTTTGATTCGGATTGGTTCAATGCTGGCGGTGTAGCTATCACGCCCATCCAAACGGGTGACTGCATGGCCACAGAGGTTCAGGTAGGATGGAATGTAGACCTCGACTTGGATGGAATGGTGCCCGGCGTCACTGCTCAGGACCGGGATTCGCACGGCAGTCCATGGTCGTGACGTACAGACCCGGCATTACACCACAGGTTTCCTCTTCTTGCGCAACACGCGCAGACATGGACTACTGTCAGACCAGTCCAGCTGTACAGTATCGCCACGAGGCCGCCAAGTGGGGAGGCGCAGAGCTTGAAATGGGAAAAAAAGGAAGCAGGACCAGAGATGGTGGGCAATGAAATGGGATGCCACTTACATTCGCTATCTGAGCCAGGATTTCCGGCGACTCGTGGTATTCATCGAAGCCATGCCTGGCGCCCCAATGCGGAATATCCTCCTCAGAGTGGTCGATTTCCTCGGAGCGGTTGACTACAAACTCGCTCTTCGACCGCATGAGCAATGGCTTCATAGATGGGCGTTTCGGTCGGTCGGAATCCGATTGTTCGCCGGCGTAAAACCCGACAGAGAGGTTCTGCTTGTTTCCAGGCGCACTCGATGGCCGTCTGGAAGTGCCATCATCATGGCTCGTTGACCGTTGAAGCGCTAGAGGCTGAGGAGCAGCATGTGGCAATGGTTCGGCTGTCGCATCGGCAAATGCGGTGGATCCGTTGGGACCCTGCATCGGCGGCATGTTGGTAGGACTTCCATTAACACCAAGCAGCGCGGTGCTGTTCGTCGTTCGCGGGATGCTTGTGTGGTGTCGAGGTTGGGAGCTGGATAGTGAGGGCTTCGAGGTGCTCGGCTGTCGAAGATGGGTGGCGGGTGAGGGGCGAGGGAGGGGGTGATCTTGCACAGAGGCAGCAGTCATATTGTCAATGACTCTGTCGAGATGTGTGCTTGGCGCAAAAACCACCTGTCAATAGTTTACCGCGGCGACATTTCGACCCTGGGCGTCGCGCGGATAAGGTGATAGAGATGTGGCAGGCGATTGCGTCGGTAATGCGAATTTGGAGTTTTTGGAGGACGGGAGTGACAGGTCCAACGTTGGGTGAAGGCGCAGCGCCGCGGCTAACACCCGCCCAAACCCCAGCTCGACGTGGGCAGGTGCGGCAGAGGTAGGAGGTGCCTTGGTCCACAGCACAACATCCGCCCAAAATTAGGAATGACCCTCTGGGTACCTACCTAAACTACCTACCTAGGTAGGCTGATGTCAGCTTCGGTCCCCGACCTATCAAGATAGAGAAGAGCCGCCTCTGTATCACTTGCCCCAAAAGCTTCTTCTAAACTTCCAACCAGCGTTCCTAATTATTCACATCTACTGGTTAATATGAGCAGATTGATGCCAATCAATCGGATATACCGCAAGAGTATACAATTCAGGAGTTCGTCTTATCTACGCCCCGGCGCAGTCATCCAGTCATATGATGATTATGATGATGATGATGGCAACGGTATCCGTACAGATACAGCCAGCTGGGTCAACCCCCAGCACGTTAGAGGCACTGGGTAAAGACGTTGTGTGACCCGACCCTGACCGCCTTTCAGCTCCACATCTCCGCATTATTCGTCCAGTCTCTTGTCCTCTCGTCTCCCAGCCGCTGGCCGCTGGTCGGTCGCAGGGTGTAAGTATGTACCCACCGTATCGTAGGTCGGTACCTTAGGTAGGTAGGTAAAACAGTCAGATGGCGGGGATGAGGTAAGAGGAGAAAATGGCGCTAGTCCGAGGATGGTCTTCCGACTGTGCTAAGGGTACCTAATCGTCGTGTACCTGTGTGGTGGCCTTAAGAGGGACCGCCTTGCCTCATGCAACCAACCAACAAGACTGCCTGGGTCCATTCAGCACAATCCCGCCTTCTTTTACTACCTAAGGCAGGCAGCTAGGTAGGTACCTAGGCAGTGTAGGTATGTATCCGTAAGAGATGGCGCGAACACGTACGTCCACTCGGACATTCGCAATTGGAGTGCGCGTTCCACCGCTGTATTCTTTAAGGCCCGTAGGTGTCTACGGTCCTTCCGCTGCTGGACAGTCAGGTTTGTATTGCCTCCCAAGGACTCTGTCGCGTGTACCTGCGTTATCGACCGAATTTAGGCGGCCGACGATATCTTAAGGGCACTAGCTAATCGAAGACAACATTCCTTGTAACATCATTCAATGACGGTGGGGAATGGGCAGACGGGAAGGCAGGCGCGTTAGAAACAATGTCTCGTCCAAACGGCCGGCTCTCTCTATTTTGGCCCATAAATTCACTTTTATTTTTATTTTATTTTTACCCCCTATTCTCTCCATTGATGATTTCACTGGGGCGTCTTTTCCTTTGCCTCCTTTCTTATTTCATTTATTTCTACTTGTATGGATCATTGCGTTTTCGTCTCTGATCTCCGCGCACGTCATATCGCGAACCAAGATGACATGTCCTTTCCACGATATGAGGTGTGTGCAAATCTCAATCGTCGTCACCCGTTGGTGATTCACCCTGCTATGACGACGCATCCTCACGTTTCTGGTCCCCAACATGCTATATAGCATAGGCAAGGTCCTTCGTCGGCCAAAGGGTTACCGAAAGGCCGGGAATCCGCTGTGAAGACCCGATCGCGGCTACGTCTTGTCTTTCAATATTAGAAATATTCAAAAGTCTCGAGATGGGCTGATTGGTCCATAATATTCGTAGTCATTCAATGCGTCCATGCGTCATCAGAGCCGTGGTCGCGAGGCCCCATTGAGTTTGTTTTCGGAGCCTCATCGTACCTCTGTCGCTTCTCGATGACCGCCGCTTGGCCAGCGCACCGTTTCCCGCCTGCTTCAGGCCAACATTGATTCTCACCAGAATGCTCGCATCTTACCCTCGGACGCGCCATCTTAAGAAAAGCATTCTTGCAACTGCTGGGCGCATAGTCTAATTTGCCAGAATCATGTGCCCATTCCATCCGAGCCTTAACTCTGCGCCACCGGTGTTCTTTCCAAAGAGTCTTCAGGTGCATAGAGCGAGCGGACGCAAAGGGTACGCTAAGATACCTTCGACGTCCGTGTAGAACCTGCTCCCTTGCCTTGGTTATGGTCGTGGCTTGCCGTATAGAGTTCGTAGTATCCGTACTCCGTACAGTGTACGGAGATACCACAATCTGTGCGCTTCCAATTCTGCAGAAGGAGTTGATGAGGAGCTCAATACCTATCTTTTCCGTCTGTTGTTCACCGACCCCGTATTCCTGTTTTGGTCTTCCGCCGTCCCATCCTTGCGTCCGCCTCGTAGCCTCAGGGCGTCCGTGTACTGGAACTTGGAAGCTACTAATGGCGTTGAAGCTTTGGAGAACATGAAACACACCATATCATGGCCGATGGACCCGCCTGATGGGAAATTATCCTCAACAGAGCAACGGAAGGGCGGCCCTCTTTCGTTACTGTCGGGTACCGAGGACCACCGCACCCCTGAAGCCACGAGTTCATAACAGCAAATAGTCATCGCCAGATCGATCATGCGTCAGCGCAACAAAGGACCCGAATCTGACCTTCTCTTTCTGTACACGATAAGCTGGCCCGAGCGTTGGAGCATGGCAATGAGCAAGATTAAGACTCTCATGAACTCCAGTGCCAAGGGTGACCCTGTCGACGACTTGTCAGACAAGTACGCAAGGGTACACAATTCATACTACTAAGCTACAGAAAGTGAAAGGGCGGTTTTCTGCACACTCTCGATTCTTACAGACCAGCGTCTTTACACTAAAGCGGTGGAAATCTGGTTTGGGAAACCTGGTTCACTGCGGAAATTTTTGGTAAGTACGGTATGTTGGCAGAAGGGTTTTGGGGGCATGAGCAAGCGTCAATCACTGGGCATTATGTCTCATGTCGAGATCCAACGTTCGGCAAAGAAGCAATGTTTCCCGCGCACTGACGTTAAATTGACATCGGACCTGACTGGCTCTTGAGCGATGCGCAATACACTGTACGGAGTACACAGCACAGGAACAGACGTCAACCGACTCAGACCTCAGGATCTGCAACTTGCCGTGGCGTCGGATCAGGAATAGTTGCCGGGGCCTTTAATGGAGGCCATGTCACTGTGATGTGTGCAAGCCGTCGAGGTATCCGAAAGAATACGGATACGTAGCAGCACAAGTCTCGACGGATGCCGGAGGGGGCTGGCGGCAGCCACCAGCACCCAGAAACAGCATTTTATGACCCTGGAAAGGAGATGGGAAGGACCAGTCTTGGCCAGCATTGGCCAATCCTTCTGGTGGATGGCCCACCAAGGATCAGCGCCAGGAAGGCTGGGTTGGCTCAAGCAAAATCGCACATGGCACATGGCACATGGCACTTGATGCGCTTCAATTCCCAAAACACCGCGAAATTATAAAGGTTAATAATGGGTGGCTCGAAGGCAAAAGGTACGGGGTGTTTTGAACGGGGAGGCATACAAAAGGAGGGTGGGTGAAGGCCAGAAACAATTTGGGGGGGGGGGGGGGCCTGGGTCCCCGCCCCCTCGACTCAGTCGACGAACGAACGAACGGGACGCGTCAAGTTTTGCCCAAGAGGCCCTTTAATAGAACCTGACACCGAACACCACCACCCAGTGTCCATCGAGATCTTTAAATACCTAAGGCACCAAGCCATGTTGAGGCAACGCCGGCAACGAATTGAGATGGATACGGCAGTGGAGAAATGGGATTTTGTCCCAGGGGGTAGCGGTAGAATATCAGCAGCCAACGTGAGTGATGCATTCTATTCGTACGGTCTGCGCATGTCACGTCCGTTCGTTTTCCCGTAGCCCCTTTACAATACCTAGGTACGTAGCTGCCTTACCCTGGAGGAAACGGAATGCACATACCACCGTGCAAGGCACAGTACTGACGAGCGACATGGCAACTGCAGCGTGAAACTGCGTGTTCCTAAAGTACTCCTAATGTTCCGCCTGACGTCCGAGGATCCTTCCATTCTTGCCTTCCTCCCCCCGCCGTAGCGAAAGCGCCAGCAAGCCTGCAGCCTCCCCGTGCTTCCTGAGGGAGAAGAAAAAAGTTTCCCTTTTCTGCTCGGATGCTGGGCTGTCCCCTACACACCCCCATCCGCTTGTCATGATCTCATTGGCCAGAAACAGCTACAGGCAAGCCCCTGATGTGACAATGCAGCCAAAGCAGTCAGTTGGGGGAGGGCGGAGAGTAGTCCAGAGCGACCTGATCGAGCCAGTCACTGAGCTGCAGTCTGTGCAGGAACAGGCGCCCCGAAACAAACGGGAAGTGAGGTGCCACGGGGAGCCTAATCGCCAATTGCAGCTTGGTGCTACTAGCACTGGGCTGCAGTTCAGTGCATTTACTTGGTCCCATCGGCACTCCTGGTCCTGGGGCTGTATTGAATTTCCATCGGGGCCTCCACCTCCCACCCCCCCTGTCGACATTCCTTTTGCCAAACTCTCCTCTTAACATCCGCTTCAGGAAAGGAAACCAAGTTGACCGACACGCAGGTAGGATAGAGAAAGAGAGAGAGAGGGAGAGGGAGAGAGATACCGTACTGTCGTACAGTCTGCCCTCCTTTTCTATTGCTGCGCTGTCCTGCCTTCCCAACTTTAACAACGTTCCTTCTTGCGACTACAGCAACACCGACGATACATGAAAGGCCCGAGAGCCGGAGGAATAATAAACGACCACGGACAGGAATTAAGAAAAGAAAAGGAAAGGAAAGGGAAAAAATCAAGACTAGTTCAAGAGGGGACTGCCTAGTAGGGAAAAAGTAACCCGTCCCCTAAATTTTAACGAGCCAACCCCCGTCAGCAAAAGCCGCTCTTTTTGTACGCGCAAAATCGAACATCGTCCCGTCTCTCGCGCTCAGCACCCTGCCTCCTTTCGTCTCCTCACCCCTCGTCCCCTTGCCACCTTACTTACTCGCTTTACGACGCCGACAAGGAGGACCGCAAAAAAAAAGGACGAGGTCGAACAACATCGCAGGACGCTCCTCGCCTCAGCAACGCGCGCTACCCCGGGACACCCCACCAATGCGAACCCAGCCATCCGCACATTCGAGCCCCGACTCCCTCTCCTGTTCCTGCGTTTCTGCGTTCCTGCATCCACTGCATCAACCCCGTCACGCCTCACCCGACTCGGCACCAGCGAACGGGCGACGACATCTCAGTCCCCGCAACGTCCTCGCGACTGACGGATCGACTTTATCCATCACTGACGCGAACGACCTGAACCCCGACGAACGAAACGATTCAATTGATACCCCCAAAGATCACGGCGCATTGGAAACGACGGACGACCGAGCTTTGTCCCATTTGCCGCCCAGCGTGCAGGCCGTGATTTGATCCGTCATGGCTTTCCTCTTCAAATCCAAGAAGAATCAGGATCGAGCCCTTGCAAGCCGCGATGGAAATTCGGGCGGTGGTTCCCAAGGCTCCATTCAGAGCCAGCGCGAAAGAATAGCCAGAGAAGAGAAGAACGGCACCCAGCGCTCGACACCGACTGGCAGCTTGCACTCAATCGACCGCGATGGAAGTGCTGGAGCCGGAAGCCCCGATCAAGGCTATGGTCGCCAACGAGGTACCAGTTTAGACCAAACTGCGTCGCAACCACCGAGCGATTTACCTGTAAGTCCGACCGACTCGATGCGACGGAACATCTTCGCTGAAGAAAGCTGACCGTTTCGCAGCTTCGCAATGGCCCCCCCGTCTCCTCTCAAAATCAAATGCCTCCTCAACAACAAGTGACAAACCCCAATGCGTCGCTATACCCTTGGTCGCAACGACGATTGACTTACACGTCCTCACACCCGAGCCCCTTTCCCAGATATGGAGCCGCCGTCAACTCTGTATCATCCAAGGAAGGCGACATTTACGTGATGGGAGGTTTGATCAACAGCTCAACGGTCAAGGGCGACTTGTGGATGATTGAGGCTGGGCAGAATATGGCCTGCTACCCCCTGGCAACGACCGCTGAGGGACCAGGCCCACGTGTTGGCCACGCAAGTTTACTCGTTGGCAATGCCTTTATCGTATACGGTGGCGATACCAAGGTTGACGAGACGGATGTTCTAGATGAGACATTGTACCTTCTCAACACTTGTAAGTTTTCTTTCTGCATCCCGGCTTTCGCTGTTCAGGTACTGGGCGGTAACTGATTCAAGAATAGCTACGAGACAGTGGTCGAGAGCCTTGCCTGCCGGGACTAGACCGTCTGGTCGCTACGGCCACTCTCTGAACATCCTTGGGTCCAAAATCTACATATTTGGTGGGCAGATAGAAGGTTACTTCATGAATGACCTCGCAGCCTTTGACCTGAACCAGCTACAGATGCCCAACAATCGTTGGGAGATGCTTATTCAGAATACCGACAGCGGTGGACCCGCCGTCGGCAAGATTCCCGCCGCTCGAACAAACCATTCTGTTGTCACATTCAACGACAAGATGTACCTGTAGGTATCTTATTGAGAACCCTGGGAAACGCAGATACTGACCTCGTCCTAGTTTCGGTGGTACCAACGGCTACCAATGGTTCAACGACGTCTGGAGCTATGACCCTGCCACAAACGAGTGGGCACAACTAGACTGCATCGGTTACATTCCTGTACCCCGCGAAGGACATGCCGCAGCCATAGTCGACGACGTGATGTACATCTTTGGCGGCCGTACGGAGGAGGGTGTCGACTTGGGGGATTTGGCCGCTTTCAGAATCACCTCGCGCCGCTGGTACACTTTCCAGAACATGGGGCCGTCACCCTCTCCTCGGTCTGGCCACAGCATGACAACCGTCGGCAAGGCTGTCGTGGTCGTTGGAGGTGAACCAAGCTCATCCCCCGCCAGCGTCGGTGATCTCGGAATAGTCTACATGCTCGATACTACAAAGATTCGCTACCCGAACGACGCCCCACCCGCACAGCAGCCTGGGGGGCAGCAACGAGTACCTCCAGCAAGACGACCCAGCACCGCTGCTGAGACAAGGAACTTGCTCTCCCGAGATGGTTCTACTGGCCCTCCTGATCAGAGGAGGCTTGTCGGGGCGCCTCGCGACGGCTCAGCAACCAGTAATGGCCCTTCGAACGGGGTTCGAGGATCGCCCAATGGCAGTGACGCAAGCCCTGTAACCGTCAACGCTTCGAAGATCCCAATGTCCGCGGCGGCATCACCTCCCGCTGGGCCGCCTCCTCAAGGCCCGACACCTGCAAAGCCTTCAGTGCAGACTGGCAACCTTGGCAGAGTTCGCGGCCAGTCATCAGAGAGAGATGGTTCCGTAGGCGGCTCACCCAAAATTGTGGCAGGCCAGTCACCAGTAATTCGAGAAGTCAGAGAACCAGCTTCCAAAGATGCCGAGAGCCCGGTCACAAACGGCAGACGGACTCCTCAACAAGTTGGAAGGTCAGCATCTGGCTCTAAATCCGATTCTGTGCCTTCCGAGACTTCCAAAACCCGGTCGAGGCAGGGGAACAGGTCTCAGGGCTCTGTAGACAGTACGACCGAACCATCTTTGAAAACAACGTCAGCGCAGCAAGTACAGCCGCCACCTCCAGTGCAGGCGCCACCGCCGCAACAGCCGATGCCCCAACAGCAACTACCGCAACCTCCAGTACAACAGCAACAAGCTACCCGTCCCGCTTCACCACCGCCTCCCGCGCGCCAAGTTAGCAACCCAATGTCCAGAAGGTCCTCGGGCCGCAACTCACAGACCGTTGCCTTACTGAAGGAGCTGGATACAGCTAGAAACCGCAACGCTTGGTATGCTTCAGAGCTTGAGTTAGCCCGCAAGGCTGGATATGTTCCCAACGCGAGTCTTAGCCCCGTTCTCGACAGCAGAGCTGCCGAGACCTTCGACGATGAAGATAAGCCTCTGATCGAGGCACTGCTAGCCATGCGAACCGAGCTTGCAAATGTCCAGGCCTCCGTCGACAAGCAGGCTGTACTCGCTGCAAAGCAGATTGCAGAAGCTGAGAAGCAACGAGACGCTGCCATCCAAGAAGCGGTGTATGCGAAGGCAAGACTCGCCGCTCAAGTCGGCGGTAGCGTTGCAAGCACTCCTCAACTGGACGGCGAACGTGATGTTGATGACCGTTCCACGGAGATTAGCAAGAAACTGGCTCATGCTCTGAGCTACCAGAAAGACCTGCAGGCACAGCTCGAGATAATGAAATCGGAACTCGATGCCGAGCGGCGCGCCCGCCAACTGGCCGACGACACCACCAATGCCTCCCAGAAGCGTATGAGCGAACTTGAGTCCTACAAAACGACGACCTCTACAGAGCTCGAACAACTCAAGGCCAAACTGCACATGGTTCAGAAAGAGGCAAGAGAGCAGGCGATTCAGTACACGGAGGCTGTGGCCACCGTCCAGCTGTTAAAGGTTGAGAAGGAAGATTTTGAGGCCAAGTACAACCAATCCGTTGGGAACTCCCAAGAGCAGGATGCTACTTTTGACTCTCTGCGCGCGGCTATCTCGGCCTCCGCCGAGATCAAGGCTCTCCTAGAAAGTAAACTCGAAGAGGAGCGTTCGCAGAGGGAGAAGATCGAGTTGAAGCTCAACAACCTGAAGGCGGAGCATGAAGCACGCACTGCAGAGCTTGTTGCAGCGACTCAGCGATTGCGCGATTCTGAAGAGATTGCTGAGAGGCATGCAAAGGAGGCTAAACTCCATCAGCAGGCGGTGCTTGCTGGCTTCAATAAGGTCACTGCGTCAAGAGACGTTGGATCCGATAGCAAGACCGATAGTGAAAGGCTCAAGGCGCTGCAAGGCCAACTCAACGCAGCCAACGCTCTGGTAAAAAAATACCAGCAGGAAGCTGATGCTGCTGCCGACAAACTCCGCACTGCAGAGGAGCGCATTGCTGGCTTGGAGGTGTACCAGGAGCAATCCAGCCGCGAGGGCGTGGCAATCAGAAGGCAACTTCAGGCGGCCCTGCGCGACACCCAGTCTTTGCAGGCTAAGAACTCGGATTTGAAGCACCAGCTTCAGAACCAGCAGCTGGAGACCAACGCGATGACTGTACAGCACAACACCTTGAAAGACATTCTAGTCGAGCGCGGCATAAGCCCCACCGGTATGTCGCGGACACGTAGCATTGGCAGCCCTCGCGTCAACACCCCAGACCAAGTACGCATCCGGGATCTCGAGGATCAACTCAACGCTGCCCTGTCCGCCCATGAAGAGAACGCTCAGCGCAGTGCGGCTCAGCAAGAGGCTAGCGAAGCCGCTTATCGCGAGAAACTTACCCAGCTCGAGAACGACTATCAGTCTGCTGTGCATTACGTCAAGGGCACCGAAAAGATGCTCAAGCAGCTGAAGGAGCAACTCTCCAGATATAAGACGGAGAACGCTAAACTCAAGTCCGAGATCGAGGAGCTCGAAGAGCGTGTCGAGGCGTCTGCTACTGCCAATACCGGAGAGGCCTCTGCCAACTGGGAAAGCGAACGCCACATCTTGCAAACGAAGATAGAAGCTCTCGAGGAAGAATTAGAGGCCTCTACCGAACAGCTCGAGAAGCAGCTGAACTCTGTCAGAAAGGAACTTGAGGAGAGCAAGAAGCAACGCGAAAATGCTCTTGAGGACGCTGAAGAGGCTTCCCGCAAGCTTGCCGCCAACCGCCGTGACTTGGAGGAGCTTCAACAGGAAAACATTCTTCTGGAGCGCCGAGCCCAGGATGCTGAGGAGAAAGTCTCTCTCTTACTAGACCAAGTTGAAACCTCGGTCGACAGCTATCGTCGACAGAGCAGACAAGCACCGAGCATGACTTCCGAGCTGACGGAGAGGGGCACCAACGGAATAAACACGGGCCACCAACGCCAGGATAGCTCGGACATGGATAGCACATATGGAGCTGCCTCGGGCGGAGTCGATGGGCGCAATAGCACAGCCTTGGACAACCTAGCAAACGAGCTCGAAACCCTGCGAACCCATTGGGAAGCCACCAACAAAAACTATCGTCTAAGCAACACTTTTGACTTTGAGGGCGCCACAACCCCAATACGCAAGGACGAAGATGTCGGGATGGGCCTCAGTGAGAGCCTGGCTGACTGGCGTAAGCGACTTGACGTAGACGAGCAAACAGAAAACGATCGAGCGAAGACGAAAAGCCGACCTGACCGGCCTTAGTCTGGCGTTCTGCGACGCATGAACTCTCGCTTTTCTACATGACGACTGCGAGGCTTTTTGCCACTATTTATTGTACATTCTTCCCTTGACTGCCCCCCAGGCAGCAGCAGTTCACGTAGGTGGAAGGAGTTTTCGGAATACGGGAATCTGACTTCGACGCGTTGACTTGGCTCTTCGTTTCGCAATGATTCTACGTATTCATGACGAAACAGCCTTCATTTAATCCCCCGCCCGGTTTTTTTATTTTATTTTTTTGCGCTTTTCTTTTTGCCTTGCTGAGTTCATGGGTTCTTCCTTTCTGATGATACACTATGTAACATGGCCGCTCCCTGTTTGTTCTTAGCCGTATCTGTACAAGAGTAAACAGGGGCACAATGGTTATTTTTATTCATGATGGGGTCGATGGACATCGCTGAGTTTGAGCGCATGTGCCCAATTCCGTTTTCTCTAAGATAATGTACAATTACCGCCGATTTTCTCTTCTTTTCAGATGGCTTTTGTCTTTCCTTTTTTTCTCACTTTTTGGAGAAAGCTTGATTTCGACGCCATACACTTCGGTGTTTCCGTTACGAAATACGATCGTAGAAGAAAAAGCAGACGAGGTGCGCGGGACATATTGACGATCCACTCGGCGAGCGGAGCGGAGCTGACTCAAGAGGGGAAAGGATATGACAACAAGGGACCGGCAAGGAGGGAATCTACTCTTTTCCTTGCGGTTTCGACAACAAACTCCCTTGGTAATCTTGCTACAGTCCTCCGAATCCGATAAGCCAGCGGCTTGACGAGGATAGCTGGCGGCATGGACGATGGGAGAATGGACAATGATAAGACGATTGTTACCCGATACGCCTACCTGTTCTGTGATGCGTTGTATTCCGTTTCTGTGTATAAGAGAAACCTTGACGATGATATATATCAACGGCTTGGTGCAAACTATGCTAATGATCATAAGAACCGCCTGTGCTTTGTGATTGGGGGGAAGGGAGGGCTTTTCCGATCAACATTGTGCTTTGAACGCCGGCTGTCCAAGTGATAACCTGTGTAGAGTGGCCCCTTCACCGGCGAGCTTGGCAGAAAGGGTTTCTATCGAGAGCATCGGACTTTCCCTTGCACCTGTGCCTTTGCCTATACCTTATAACACGCCACCATGGGCACCCGCCACCAGTGACGTTCTTCCATGAGCCTCTGGGTGACGAGCAGATGGCTGGCCATCCTTAGCGTCCTGATCTGTGTCGATTCCTCGACCTCACCTCGAATGTTAAGCCCCCCCGTTTCGCCCGTATCGTCCTCTTTCAGCAATGTCGTGGCTACTCAACCTGGAACACGCGGACCACGGGCGTGCGGCGGTGGAGCGAGAGGGAAACCCTCCGTCTCTTCTACTCATCCCTCGCTCCGTACGCGTGGTCGCCATTCCAGATGGCGGCGATATGAGGCGCCGCCGAGGAGAAGAAATCCTATGCCCAGGATTGTTAGTTGGCTGATAAGTACCGGTCCTGGTAGGAGCCACACTGTCGCTTCAGTGGGTATACCAAGCACACTGCGTAGGTTGTGGACGACGCCTCTCGAACGAGCTTAGACACTTCGCTTGAGGCGGCAAGCAAGAAGGGCAACATGACTGATCACATTGTCTTAAGCTGTTACTCTTACATTGGCACAATGAAGCCCTTAGGGCCATGCATGCCTTTTGATGTACAAATCTCGGTCTCTCCATCTTTACAGTACCACGGAGTATCTTCCGTTGCCACTCGCATCTCTCTTTCACTTGCGGTTCGTGCCCGAGACCAGCAGCACGACGCTCCCCAACTGCCTCTTCAGGTCCTCCTTCTCCACATCGTGCGTGTCCTCCACCTCGCCCCAGGACCCAGTCTGCCACGAGACTTCCAGGCTCGCCGCTGTCGCCGCCTCCTCGATGCCAAACTTCCTCGGGCTCGCCGGGTCGCGGTACTCCCCGACGGGGCCCTCGCTCCACTCCACCACCAAGCGCGCCGCGGTGATGAGGCTCTTGCCCGCCAAGACAGCCCTCTCGAGACCAGTCAGCTCCCATGGGTCGAGTCCCATGACCCACCCCTGCACTACGTCTCGCACGCCCTCCGTCTGCGCCCTCGGCACGATGCTATGCCCATCCAGGACCGGGTGGATCTCGATGCCCGGCCACACCCGCGCCGTGAGGAAGCCGACGACGTCCTCAGCCGTGCGCTTCTGGACGTCTCTCAAAGACTCGCCCGCGTCATTGCGCGTGTCCAGCGGGCCGGCCGGGGGCGCCCAGCACAGCAGGGAGTCTGTGTCGAGGTAGCGCATCAGCGTCGTGGCGATAGACTGGCGGATCGCGCCGGAGGCAGCGTCGTCCTCGGCGATGTCGAGGGCGCGGCAGGTCAGGGAGGTAAGGGGGATCATGTGCTGCTTGGTTGCCTGCTGGGCCGAGGTGATGAGGTCCCATTCGATCGCCAGGGCGGAGGCGAGGTGCTGCTTGGAGACCGGCAGACGCATGATCTGCTTGGTGTTGGGGTGGCGGAGGGGACGGCTGTCGAGGTGGACTTGGAGAGCGCCTGTCAAGGTGCTTGGTTAGTTCGAAACCCAGTCTACAGAACACGGTACACCATAGTTGACGCGGCGAAGCTCACCATCGACCTCTTGCACGCTAACATCGTTCCAGAACCTCCTCTTCAGAGCGCCCGGCTTGCTTGCCTTCGCCTCCGCCGACGTGCGGATGGTCTTGGCGTGCTTCAACATCTCTGCTTGTCTTTTCCTCCTCTCGACGCGCGCGCGCGCAACCGCCGCCCGATCTTCTGCAGCAAGATCCGGGACGGGGGGCTCAGGTGGCGGACCGGTGCCAACGACGGGCGCGACCTCGGCGGGCTTGAGCGTTGTAGTCGAGATGGTTCTGGATGCGGCGGCGGCAGCGGCAGCGAAGCACGGCCGGCCGGCCGCTGTCGTCATCGGCGACGACGCCGCGAAGAGTCGGAGAGGTATGCGGGTCGATGGCTTCATTTTTTTTTTTTTGTCGGCTTTTGCGTGTAAATGACTACAGAGAGGTTGCAGTAGTGAGTTTGGGAGGAGCTATCGGAGCTACAAAGTACAAGTAGAAGTCGATTAATTTTTGGGAGCTTTGAAGTAGGCCCCACACATTCAACACATGATCCGATTGGCTGGAAGCAAGGGACACACCCTTATGTATGATTGAACACAGGGTCGCCATTGGCGGCAATTTGCTATATAGATCTCGAAGAAAAGGCTGCTTCTTAAAATTGCAAACCCTCGGCTTTGCGCCTCGTTATACATCTACGCCTGGCTGTAGCAATACAAAATTTGAACACACCGCTTAGGTCCATTACGTTAGTATGGCGGCTTCGTGACATTTCCCAGGCTAAGCTCTCCCGCCTTGCTGTCGATTCCGTTAAGAAGTTCATGCAAATCCATACCCCCACCCGAGACCATCGAAAAGTTCCCATCCCCTCTTCCCGACCCATGGTATATACTATCGCCACCGCGACTGCTCAAGTTCCGTTTCGCTGGCTTAACCGCATAATCCTGAATAGCAATCGAGGATGCCAGTCCGCCGATATTAATGGGTAGTGGCGGGACGGGCGGCACCTGCTCGTCCTCGTTGTACTCGTACAAAGGGTTCGAATTCAGAGGCCCACCCTTGCGTGACTGAGATGAAGACCGTGGCCGCCCAAGAGAAGCCCCGTCGCCATTTTCTGTTTGTGATGCACCCGGGTTGAAGCTAAGTTCCGATGGCGTAAAGTCGTAGCTGACCATACTGTCGCTATCGCTTTCGTGATGCAGCCCGGCTGAGGTGCCAATGGGTGTTGCCGGTGCTTGCCCTGATAATACCATCTTTAGCTGATCGACAGACGCAACCACGCCCCGGCTAGAGTCCGAGGGCGAGGGCGAAACACCGCTCCGAACACTGGACTTGCGCAGCTGCCTCATGGGAGACAAGCCCCCAGGCACCTGGGACGAATTAGGACGAAGATTGCGCTGGCTGCCAAGCGGCGACGACTCGCCCGCTTGCCCGTGGCCGTTAGCGCCGTTGACCGTGAGGTGGTGTCGGTTGGTCCCCATAGTGCCATTTTTCGAGCCAGCCAAAGATTCTGACTTGCTTCCCGCCTGCAGTGCTAACATTGCCGCATCCCTTGACCAGTCCGTAAGCATGTGCTCTCGAAAAGAGGCTGGCAGCTCTGTCCCGGGCGCTGCAGGTGCGCTAGTGATCGAGGTGTTGAGAATAGGGTGCGAGAAGTTACGACCAGGAGACTGAGGAGGACTGTTCTGCGGTGAGATGCTTGTGTCTGCATAACTCATACAGATGCTTTCAACAAGTGATTCCCGGTCGTCAAAAGGCAGCAGCGCTTCGCTTTCGACCTCGGTGGAAGGCAGCCTTGTCTGCAACTTAGGAACCCCAGGGGTGCCAACGAGATCCAGTCCCGGAGGAGGGATAGCCACGCCCTCGGTCCAGAAATGCTTACTGCGTCTTCGAATAACTTCGTCGATGATTGCGCGCCCGACGGCAGAGTTCTCAATATCGAACTTTTCAGTCACTGCCCAGAAGTATCCATGGCAGAGACTGCCAAGTCGGACCTTTTGCACTGGAAGCTCCGCATCCGGGATGTCCTCCTGAAGGCGGAACACCATGGGTAACCCGTATTTGACTGCGTTGATACCCAGCTGATACACCAGCTTGGTGAGCAGCACGTGAAGGAGCACAATGTCCGGGTCATAGTCGACGTATTGTAGTGCGTTGTCGTAGATTGCAATGTGTAGGAGCTGCAGGAAGTGCGTGCGCTGCCGCGACGGCTTGTCGCGGATTGAGGCGTTCGAGGCGGCACGTTGAGCGACGCTGGCTGGCTGAAGCTCGCGGCTGTTTTTGTGCCATGATGAGCGGTAATGTTGTGCGCCTTCGTCCCGCGCCTTCGAGTCTGCCGGCGTCGTTTCGCGGTCAAGCCAGGTCAAAAGCGCATCAGCGTAGGCTTTCCTGACCTCGCCGTCCGGATCCCGCAGGAGCCAGTGTGTATTTTCCCATACTTGGATCGGGACTCTGTTTCGTGAAAGGTTCAAGTTGCCAGACATCTGCGCCCGCGGGTTCGCAACAAGGAGAATGTTCTTGATGGCTTTCAAAGCGGCAGTTTTGCCTACATTACGGGAAAGAATGGTTTCCAGCTGAGGCTGGCTAGAGCTCAAATCGTCCGAGGATGGCTGCTCGGCCTCGTCCGCCCGAGGTGAGGAGGTTGTGCTCGAGGATTTGGAGGGCTTGAGGCGGAGGAGGATGGTCGAAATCATGTCCGAGATCTGGTCTGCGTAATAGACGTGTGTTGCGAGGTCTCCGATGCAGATTTGGATTCGCTCAAGAAGCTCCTTCCGTTGTGCGAAGATGTCCCCGGAGCCCTGCGGGCTGGAAGGAGTCTCCTCGGCATCCCCTTCTACTCTACCGAAGCCACCGGGGAGTTGGATCAGATTCTTCATGTGCTGAATGAGCCCCAGCAGAACGTCCATGGCGCTCAGCCCAATCAGGTTGATATCAGAGCGCAGCAAGGATCCAATCATGGCCGCAAACGTTAGATGCAGCTTCAGATTGTCGTCCTTGACGGGCGCTTTCAAAAGATGATCCATGGCGGTCACCAGAATGACATAGCGATCTTGTACAGGCGCCCATCGCGCAACGGCGCTGTAAATGCTGATTGCCCACCCGTAATCCTTACCAGACTTTTCGTCCGTTTTGACGACTGTGTCGCCGTTCGCAACGCGATTCTCAATGAAGTGCAAGAGGGAGCCGGTGGCGGAATGAATCTGTGGTCTGTTGGGTACGACGAAGATCTGCTTCAAGCACTGCATGGCAAGAACCCCGATGTCCTCTTCTGCCAGCTTATCCACGTCGAACGCGGTGCCTGTCAATGCAATAGGGTTGGCTTCGCCGCCAGTGTCGCCGCTTTCGACAGTTGCGACACTCGTCCTACGGCGAAGCTTCTCGGTCTGTACCTTCTCTTCCATCTGGATGCGCGACAGAAGTGTGCCGAGCAACTCTTCGTCGTCCCACCAGAGATTATCCAAAATCACGGGAACAATCACGTCAAACTGACGACCGGTGACGGTAGACAGGGCCTCTGAAGAGGAGACGCTTCTGATGGCCTCGAGGCCTGCGTTTCTCCATCGCATCAGCATAGGCTTACTCGAAGCTCCTTTTCCTGGGTTTTCACGGGTCGACGAGAGCGAGGCGTAGGTGCGCACGATCGATTCGTATTGGGCAAGGTAGGCCTGGTCGGCAAAGGAAGTAGAGGCGTCGTGATTTTCGCAAAAGGCCTCGAACGTAGGGATGGAGGACTCCACCATGGTTATGTCCTTTGACCCAAGGATGAGATCGAGGATTTTAAGCACATTCGGGGCCACAAGCGGCAAGTCCTTGGGTGCTTTCTCGATCAGTGCCGTGAGAATCCGGAGGGTGACTTGAACATTCCTGGACAGGCTCGGGTCAGCGACGCATTCGCCCAACGACGTCCGGGGGAGGATCAACAAACCCGATGCGCAGACGCCAGACATCGCTGGCGGTCTTCTTCTCGAGGAAGGAACCAATCTTTTGGATCTTGGAGCGGCGGGAGGTGGCGTAGAACAGCAGGTAGCTTAACTCGCTCGAGTTCGGCTTCACATCGACAGCACCTTTATTTGTTCGCGGGTAGCACTTGAGCACCAACACTTGGTGCTTCGGACGACATTTTTGCTGAATTGCGTTCATGACGCCGGTGGGATCGGAGCCCAATGAGCGAGGGGAGACGTCGGGAGACTACCTCGTGGATGGTAGTGTTAGGAGGTGAGAAGGAAAAAGCATCGAGGTTTTGGGGAGAAGAGACAACAGGAGGCGTTCGTTCGCGCGTCAGGTCAGACAGATGCGAGGAAGCGGTCGTCGTCGTCGTCGTTGGCATAGATCACGAAAAGCAAAGAAGGAGTGAGGCATTGGACAAATTTGGGAGAGGGAAGCAGGCGCACTGAACAAGCCAGCGGACGATAGTTTGGGGTGTGGCAGGCAACCTGGAAGAGACAGGCCGACAGACACAGATTCCAGTCCAGGCCCGGTCAGGCCAAGTGGACTGGGGGGGGGGGGGGGGGGGGGGGTTAAGCATGGCGCGTTGTAGACACATGGTTTGCCTGTGGGAATTAGGTGCGGTACCTTGCGCGTCGGGGCTTTGCACTGTTGTCGGTAGGTACCTATCCGTACTGTAGCATGCAATGAGAGTTGGGAAGGGTTCCTCGTCGGCGGACGCGGACACGGATGCTCGACATGAAATTGCTTTCTGCACCGAACCACATTCCCGTCTTGCTCCTGACTGCCTCTTCGTCACCATTTGGGCCCGATTGTCCCGCACTGGGTAATTACCCGATGGTTCCATCGTGTATAGTAATAGAGAGACTCTCAGCAGCCCGTCCGAGCGTATCCAGTCTACCTATTTACAGATGAAGTCCCCCCCCCCTTCTACCTATGTATATTAGAAAGCTGGAGTGGAAACGATGGAGAACCGACTCTTACGTTTTGAGCACATGTTCGGACAACAACACAACAAAATTGCATGCTCTCAGTGTACCAGGGGGGATGAGAGACATGTGCAAGAGGGGGGACGCGATTTGGGGATGAGATTGCGACCCGAAGACGGACAAGCGCCTGTGTGAATGACGAGCTGGTAATCTCGGGGGTAAGGGGCCATCCAGGTCCGGCGTCCCGGTTCCCAGCGAGTGATGCGTTCGTTGCTCTAATCCACAAGCGCAAGGGGGCTTGGTTTTACCATCTCTTGATGTCTTCCCCCTTTGTCGCCAGCAATTCACCATTACCAGGCTTGGGTTTGTGCTTACCTACCTATCGAGGGGCAAAGGGGGGCTGGCTGGCTGGCTCATTCAGACCATGCAGTATTGTCCAGTACTGAGCAAGCCAGCCTGGTCCCGATCGACATGGCTTTGGGCTGCTGTCGAGCGCGGAATGGCAATCTGCCCTGACGAGTCTTTGGTGGCTCAGCATATATGCAGGCATTCTTTTGTTTATCCCTCATGTTCTCGGCACAATGGCAAGATTGTAGAACTTAATGGACACCAAACATCAAAATACCATTGAGGACTGGCCAAGCACGTACTACCAGCGACGAACATGGCACTGCATGACAGCCGCCAGAACGGCCCCCAGCTTGTGGTGTAGGACGCACTTGTCATTGGGCGCATGTTTCACTACCTATTCCATTTCCCCTTCTGTTCCCTGTGGCAGGCCGTCTACATGGTTACATGGTGCCGAGGGACCCCGTCTAGGTGTTTGGGACCAAACAAACACCCATCTACCCCTTCCGTCTATTTTGGTCCTCCCGGCTATTCTCTTGCAGGTGTTTTTGAGGCGAGAATTGTGGCCCACAAGGTATGTCTGGAACGGAAAGGTACCTGGGATGATCCCGCCTGCTCGGAGAGTTCCAACAGGTGCTCGGACTCGATGCACACAGGCCCATCCTAATCCACAAGCATGCGGCGAGGGCCGCTGTTAGGGATGGAAGACCTCCATACGGAAGCGTTTGTTAGTGGCTTATATGCGTAAGCTAGGTATCTTAGACATCTAGAATAGGTAGCTAAGATACCAGCCAAGCTACCTACGGAAGCATTTCTTCCTTCCAAAAGTACTGTCCCACTGTGGTCTTTCTTTTTGTCATCTGCATCCTTCGTCTTACTCTCAACCTTTGTCCAATTGTCTACCATAGCGGCACTCACCGCCATCCCGTCCAATGTCGCCAGCATTGCATCCCATCTACTTGCTGTACGCACAGGTTCTCAACTGTCCAACTAAGCCTGTATTCTTTTCCCAACAAACCCCTGTCGTCCGTCCTAACCGCTCGTCCTTGTGATTGAAGCTTTGCGGGTATCTGCCAGTCTCGGTCCCTTGTGGGATTCAACACACTCTCGCCTTGGCATGTGAAGTCTTTCCATCCCAGCCCCTTCGAGCCTTACCAACTGAGCCAAACACCATCCATCTCGAGCCCGAATTCCAGATCTCATGACTTTACTCGGAAAAATTTCTGTAGCGGATAGCCACAGGGAACCATCGCTGTTCTTTACATGGGCGCCAAGGACAATCTGGTCAAGGACACTCTCCCACACCACCCCGTGCTTTCACTTGCATGTAAGCGAGTGTCAACATCGACATCACGGACTGCTTGACAGCTGACCCGGGAAAGGTATTTAACACCGTACTTGCGACCAATCACATTGCGATCCAACCACGCTACGTGCCACTCCTCCGCACCTCCCGCAACATCCGGCGTCCTTGGACTCGACAACCCCGATACGACCCATGTTGGTAGTTCTCGGGGCAATGTTAGATTCCGGAACGTTGCCGCATCATGATACGCAGTCTCGTGGCTTCAGACGTCACCAACCAGTCTCGTCTCAACACACCAATCACTCTGTCCACCTCAAGGCTTCATCCCGTTCATCAAGCTGTAGGGATCTCATACGGTCCTTGGACGTGGGGTGAGTCTAAATTGGCTGGTCTCGTGGCCTGGTGAACTTCTCAAAGCTTTCGGCGGCTTCTGCCGACTCGCTGCTGATGCTCAGGTTACGACGTTGATGCGGCGTGGCTATCAACATCTAATCAACTGAAGAACTGTCTCACCTTGTCCATAACGCTTATCCATCCTACCCATTTTAACGTTCACGGCCGGACCAGGACAACACCTTCCGCCCTCGCTTTGGGAAGTCTTTGTCAAATTTCATCTTCAAGCCCTACTGGTCTCAACTATGACGAAGCCAGCAACAATACCACCAAGTACACTGCCCTTCCGATTGCATCATTGGAGAAGCTCACGTACGAGGCGTTGCGGGCGACTTTTTTTTTTTCTTTTCCCACCTACACAAGGTCCATAGAAATCGGTCATTGTCATTCGGTCTACTAGGATGGCTGCTCAATATTGCCTTGCCCTCGAGGGCTCAAAGGGCTGCGTGTCACATACGTCAAACAAGTGTTTGAATGTGATGTGACGTAACAGTTCAGAGACGTCCGTCCCTCAAGAGGGTGGTTGGTTTACCACCTGCTGATTGGCAGTCCAATTGCAGCGCACCCCAGACCCATCACCCCTTGTTGGTGGAGCCTGCTCGCCGATCAAAAACTCGAAGCTGGAGGAGGTATCGCTCACCGAGCCTCACCAAGTATTGGAGATGAAGTCAAGGGGGCCAACCTACCAACATTGGTTTTCCTGCACATTGCCCCATCCTATGGCCCTGCCCCTCCCAATTTAGCCTTTTTTTCCTACCTTGAAGCTTTTGATTTGATAACCAAGTAACGTTCCCTGGCAAACTTGGTAGACCTTACTGAGCGGCGACTTCGTGCCGAGATATAGGAGACGAAGCTGTACTTCATAATCCAGCCAAGAGGGCAGGACCCCAAGCTGAGCGCGGATCAAGTGGTCAATAGCTAGGCTTTGACATGTTCTTTAATGATATACAGCTTTCAAAGTCTCTAACCTTCCAGGTGTTAGTCTCAAAAGGCCCATGGCTGTTCTCGAGAATTCCATTGCTTTCAGCCTCGGAAGTTCCCATGGAAAACTTCGTCCATGGCTCATTAAAAGTCTCGATGCCACGTGTTACATTGCAGTCTAAAGGACCAGCGGAGCCAAAACAAGCAGCGGCCAGCCGTTGGTCGCCATCTTCGGGCGTATGTCTCGGACTCCATGAGAAAGTACTCCGAGCCCGTTTATGGGAAAACGTAACTAGAGCATGGAAACTCTTTCTCAGCGGAAGATGTTAGCTGCTGCAACAGTCATTATCAGGCCATTTGCCTTCGGATTTGACCAGTACTGTAGGTCGTTGGCCAGAACCTCGCGTGGGCAAACACATGGGACAGAAGCATTGAGCCCAGGGGAGATGTCGCATGCGGAAATCGGATTCTGTGCTACACAAACCGGCTCCCTCTGTACGACTTCACCAACCCGGAAGTGGAAGTGTTCCAATATAGGCAAGTTCAAGAATATCCAGATATTTGACCGTGCACGCAGTGTGGGGGTCGAGGTATGATCCGAAGGCCTGGCAAAGGAACTAGAGGTCGGGTCCCAAAGCCTGCGTCTTGGAACATAACCGCAAACAGACGGTGAAGCAAGGGACATCAGATGGAGGAGAGACATATTTCTCTCTGTTTTCTTTCAACCGCGACCAACGCCAACAACAACTAGCACGAGTGCATGTAGCAAAGCCTGTACGGCTTTGACTTGTTTCCTCCTCCTCCAAAGGGCCCAGTTCTCGCAATCCGAAGCCACCCAACACCCCAGACCGGGCCCATGAACTCCGTCGCTCTAGAAGCTGAAGATCCATCTTTAGTGCCTTTTTCTTACTTCGCCTTCTCCTCCTGCTTATCTACTGATGTTCCCCAATCTACAGAGCCTCATCTCTCCTTCAAGGCTCTCCTTAGAGGTTTGCATCTGCTTCGATTGCTGGGTCGCCCCGTTCACTTTTTTATACCCATTTATTGCCAGTCTCGTTTTTCCAGCATCCTCGTGTTTTGGATTTGTTCACGGCAAAAAACCAAACCCATAACCGCCCAAGATGAGGACAGGTGGTTCTACTGCAGTTGTAGGAGGTATAGTGAGCTTAGTCACTGCCTTGTCTTTACCCAGCGCTACCGAGGGTAAAGGCTACATCGCCATGCCGGTCAAACAGAGTAGACTCAACTTGGATCATCTCACCAAGAGAGACGCCATCGAGGTCGTCCTTAAGAATCAGGAGTTTTATTACTCGACTGACGGTGAGAAACCATCCTGCCCTCTGCTCCTTCTTGTCGTATTGGCTCGACTGACGACGACTCAAAACAAATAGTCATCATTGGCACACCCGGACAGCAGGTGACCGTTCTCCTCGACACGGGTTCTTCTGAGCTTTGGGTCAACCCCGACTGCGCCACGGCGCCCTCGGCCGCCCAGGCCAAGCAGTGCAGCGCTGCCGGCCAGTACAACCCGCGGAACAGTCGCACTCCGCCGAGCGGCCCCACTGGCACTCGTATACTCAACTACGGAGATCCCTCAGCTCCCAACACTCAGACGAGCGCCGAGATTGCCTACTACTCAGATAGCATCACAATGGGTAATGGCGTCTTGTCCAACCAGACGTTCGGCGTCGTCACTAAGAGCAATGGCATCGCCACTGGCATCATGGGCCTGGCCCCCGACCTGAAGGCTGGCTTCGCCGTCAACCAACCGTACAGTCTGGTTCTCAACAGTCTGGCCGAACAGGGTATCATCGGGAGCCGCATCTTCTCATTGGATTTACGTCATGCGTCTTCGGACTCGGGCGCTCTCATCTACGGCGGCGTCGACACCGGCAAGTTCATTGGTGAGCTCCTGCATGTTCCCATGGTCAATGGCACCAAGGGCGAGCCTCGGTAAGTCGAGTCATCTCAGGGTTCATCATCTCATCCTCCTTCCGACTAGGAGCTGTCCGTGCTAACACCGCCAAAGCCTCGCTGTCGACCTTACCGGCGTCGGTATGAACTTGTCCAACTCCGCTAAGACCTACAATCTGGCCCCAGAGGACAGTAACGTCATGATCGACTCCGGCACAACACTCACGCGCCTGCACCCTTCCCTCGCGCGCCCCATCTTGTCAGACCTCAAGGCCACAACCAACAGCGATGGTTACTGGACTGCGGCCTGTTCCCTGCGCAATAGCGGTAACGACTCATACGTCACCTTCACGTTTGGCAGAAAGACCATCCGTGTGCCCCTGAGTGACTTCATCCTCGACCTGGGCCCTACCGA